CCCCAGCCCTCTTTTATTTGTTTTTGAGACAGAGTTTCAATTTGTAGTTAAGGCTGGCGTTGAACTTCGTACCCCAGGCCTGTCTCAAAGTCACAGTGATCCTCCTGCCTCAGCTTCCTATGTGCTCAGATTACAGGCATTAGCCACATACAGTATACTGGAAACTTTTTATTTGTATGGGGAAGTGATTTCATGCTTGCTAGGCAGGTGCTTGTGTTGTTGAGCTAAATCCCCAGTCCTGGAAACACTAATTGTTTATAGTAATTTTTTTTGTTTGGTGGTACTAGGATTGAATTCAGGGTCTTCCTACTGAACTATTGTAGCAGCCTATTTATTTTGTAGCACTGGGCATTAAACCCAGGGCCTTCATATTGAGCTCCTACCCAGTCTCATTTTTTATTTTGGGACATGCTCTCACTAAGTTGCTAACTTGCTAGGCTGGTCTCAATCTTTCTGCTCTGCTTTAGCTTCCCAGAATGTTCAGCGTATTAAGCCTGCACCTCTACTCTCAGCTCTAATATTTGTTTTAAATAGATAGCATCTTGCTCATATATTTATTTGGCTATTCCTTCATAATTGACCATCTATGGTTTTTTAGTTTCTTTCTTTTTTATCAGTACCAGGGATTGAACTCAAAACTGCATGCTTGCAAGGCAGGCGCTTATGCTGCTGAGCTAAAGCCCCAGCTCCCTTTAGTTACTTGTTTTAAAAACGGGGTTTTTTTTTGTTTTTTGTTTTTTTTTTTGAAACAGGGTCTCACTATGTAGTCTTCACTGGTCTCAAACTCACAACGTAGCCCCACTGGCCTCAAACTATAGCGATCCTCCCCTGGCCTCATTCTCCAGTGCTGGCATTACAGGCATGTACTCATGTACTACAATGCCCAGATTTTAGCAATATTTCTGCCTCAGCTTCCCTGGTACTGGGGATTACAGGTGGGTACCATCATGCACAGGCTTTGTCGGTAGCTGTTTTGCTTGTTACTAATACAAATAGAGATACAAGTCAGATATGGTAGCATATGCCTGTAATCCCAGCACCTGTCTCAAATAACAAACAAAAATGAAAATTAGATAGATACAGTTAGTATATTAACAGAGGTAATCCTCCCATCTAGGGGACATGAGGATTATCTAGATATATTTTTGGTTGTCACCAAGTTTGAGGGGTGTTATTCACATGTAATGAATAGAAGCTAAGGATTCTGTTAAACAGTCTACAATTAACTGGGTATATGGTAAACAGCTGTGATCCCTGCTACATGGAGACTGAGGCAGGACAACTATCAGTTCAAGACCAGCCTGGGCAACTTAACAACACCTTGTTTCAAAAAAGGGAGACAGGCTTTGAGGAAATAGCTCAGAGGCAAGTGTGAAGTATTAAGTTCAATCTCTTGTACTGCTAAAAACAAAAGTGAATCAAAACCACAACATTTTACATAGTAGAATTATCTGGTCCAAACTATCAAGTGTAGAGATTGGGAAATTTGTATTTCTTTTTTTTTAGAGAAAAAAAGCAATTTTAGAGAAAAAACAGAAAAAAGAGTAGAATACAGAATTTCAGAAAAAAAAACAGAAGTCACTAGTTGATAAATTACATATCTTTATCTTAGAAGTAGTTGTTCATGGGGCCAGGAGTTTGGCTCAGTGGCATCAGTCCCTGCTTGGCAAATCGGAGGTTGTGAGTTCAAAACCCAGTACCAAAAAAACAAAAGTTTTCCTAGTTACAAAATCAAAGCTTAGGGCTGGGAATTTAGCTCAGTGACATAAGCGCCTGCCTTGCAAGCATGAGGTCATGAGTTCGATCCCCGGTACTGATAAAAAAAAAAAAAGAAGAAAGTATTAAAAAAAAATCAAAGTTTAAAGTGTGGACAACCAAACAATGTCAGTACAAACTATACCCTTTGATACATTAACCAAAACTTAGTAGTATGGTTATCTGTCTTGCACACATATATACAGTTATATCCTTGAAAGCACTTTCATTCCCTTTCATTATCACAATATCTATTATACATTTTGGATCTTATTATCTTTGTTTTTTATTAGGGAAATTTGTATTTTATTCTTTTGTTACATTCTCATGTGCTGAAATTCATATACTTTTTTTGTGTGTGTACCAAAAAGAAAACTCATGACCTTGTGCTTGCCAGGCAAGTGCTGTGCTGCTGAGCTATATTCCTGGCCCTGTGTTTTTATATTTTTGAAAAATTTTCAAGATGGGTTGCTTGGGTCAAAGTACATATATATATCCATATGATTCCTTGATCCGACCTGCAGATCAACCTATCCAGAATTCCTGGAGGGGGAACGGGGATTAAATAAAAGACACAGGGGAGACAAAGAGAGATAGAGGCAAGTCAAGATAATCTGATCAAGCCTCCAATTTATTCAGAAAATGATCACATCTTTTATAGGCTAAGGGGGGGAGCTGAGACAGGAAGAGGTTAAACAGATGAATACAACAGGGTCACCGTCACATCCGGATACGTGACGTAAGCAGGAAAGGATTATGGTTAATGTAGGCAGACGCAGTGCCCATAGAGAGAGGCATGGAGGCAGCAATGCCTGTCACTTGGCTCCCTACAATTCCTGTTAACAGATTTCCCCCTTGTTTTCCAAGTTAATTATCTCTTGAAATGATCCTCTACAGGCAAGGGAACATTAGTCTTTTTTTTTTTTTTTTTTTTGTCTTTTTCGTTTTTATCGGTACCAGGGATCGAACTCACGACTGCCTGCTTGCAAGGCAGGCGCTTATGCCGCTGAGCTAAATCCCCAGCCCCCGGGAACATTAGTCTTATTAGCATGCAAGAAAATGTATCCACTTAGCACTACATAGGCTGCTGTTTTTGAGACAGAATCTCACTATATATTTGAGGCTGGTTTTGAAGTCATTGTACAGCTCAGGGTGGCCTCAAACTTGCAGCAATCCTCCTGTTTCAGCCTCCCAAGTGCTGAGATTACAGATATGGGTCGCTATGACTGATTTTTACTACATCGTTCGGTAGCACAGGTTGGCCTCAAACTTGTGGTCATCATCCTGCTTTATTTTAATTACTTTTTTTTTTTTTTTTGTCTTTTTGAGACTGTTTCCCTTTGCAGTTCAGGCTTGAACTCATACCCATCCTGCTGCCCCAGCTTCCTGTGTACTGGAATTACAGGTGTGCATCACCATGCCTGGCTTTTTTTTTTTTTTTTTTTTTTTTTTGAGGCAAGGTCTCATTGTGTACCCCAGATGGACCTCAATTTGAAGATTTTGTTGCCTCAGGTTTCCCAGTACTGGGATTATAGATTTGCACCATCACATCTGGTTTAGAGTTGGTACAGATCCTTTGGCTTGATCAGAGAGTGATATAAACTTGAATTTGGGTTTAAAACTGATTTTTGATGTGACTCTTCCCTTTGGGTGTGGTGGCACATCCCTGTAATCCCAGTCCTTGGGAGGCTGAGGCAGGAGGATCACTGTGAGTTCTAGACCAGTCTGGACTACAAAGAGAGCTGAAGGCCAGCACGAACTGCATTATGAGCCCTACTCTCAAAAAACCAAAAGAAGCAAAACAAAGTCTTTCGGACTCCCAGTACAAAGCAAAAACTAAACAAGGTCTTCCATAAACGTCAAGGCACAAGCTAAGCTTGAATTTGAGATCCTCCTGCCACAGCCTTCCAGAGCACTAGGATGACAGGCATATGCCACCATTACTCCTGGCTTTATTTTTCCAATAATAGTCCTTTTGGATTACATGAAAAAGGAAGATGCATAAAATACTTCAAGGCCTCCCCTCCTTTTTTACTTTTTCTTTAGACAGCACCTCGCTATGCAGTTTAGGCTGGTCTGGAGTTCACTTTGTAGTCCAGGCTGGTCCTCAACTCACAACAATCCTCCCCACTTATCCTACTGAGTGCAGGGATTACAGATGTGAGCCACCGTGCCCAGCTAAATGTCCATTCTTTGAAATGCACTGAGAGATCAGAAGTCTATATATTAAATAAGTCAATGTACAGAAGACTACTACTTTTAGGGTTAGGGTAATTTCCATTTAAAAATTTTTTCTCTTCTTTTTTACCCCAGTGCTAGATATTGAACCCAGGGTATTTTTGTTGTTGTTTCTGTGATTACTGGGGATCGAACTCATGACCTTGTGCTTGCCAGGCAGGCACTTATGCCACTGAGCTAAATCCCCAGCCACACCCAGGTTCCCAGTTCCCCTCCGTTCCTTTTTTAGGATAGGTTCTTGTAAAATTTTCCAGACCAGACTTGAACTTGTAAACCTCCTGCGTGGTCCTTCCACGTAGAACGAATTCACTTTCTCCCTTCCTTTTTTTCTTTTGGTTACTAGGGATTGAACCTAGAGCCTCATACATAACAGGTAATCGGCAAAGCTGTCACTAAAACTACATCTTCAGCCCTCAGGGATTTACTTTTAAATTATGAATTTAGTTCCTTCAAAAAGTTCCTTAATTGGAACTTCAGTACTGGTACTCTTCATGCTGTGTATGCTATTCAAACAAAAGCAACTTCATGCCTTCTGGCTCTATAAGCATTTCTGAGTTTTCCAGACAAGGCCAGGGATCCCCTCATGTGAGCGCTTTGCTCTTCTTTCCCTCAAAGAGACGACAAAACCAGTGTGTAGTCAGGCAAGCCCAGCTGTCTGGATTTCACAGTTGTCTCAGCTGCATCAACTTAGGTTGCTCATGTTTTGGGTGGGAGGGTAGAGGCGGCATTGGAACACACGCCTGTTCATTACACCGTCTTGGGTCTGAGAAGCGGCTACTAAGACTAGAAGGAAGGCAGCGGCCATGAAGAAGCGAGCACAGCCAGCATCAGGATAGGGGTGCACAGGTGCCTTTCCTCGGGAGTTGCAGCATTACAGCAGCCGCACTGGTCCGCGCAGGCGCACCACAAAGCCTGGGTCCAAACCAGGCCTCCCCGCCCCCGCCGTCTCTGAGGGCCTTCTGTGGGCCTTGGCGCGGGGCTGTCTGCGGCGCCGCCTGATGCAGTGAGAAACTCGTGTGAGGGTAGCACTCTCCTGGGCTGTTTTCCGTGACATGCTGTTTAGGCCTAGGCTGTTAAGGACACACGTGGAAGCCTCAGGAGGGTGGCTGGGTGAAAGGCCACTGTGGAGTTGGGCGAATCAGGCCTGCAGGCACTACAGGAGGCGCCAGGGCGAAGGGCCTCTTTCGTTGCGGTCTTAAGAGCGGGAGGCCTTAAGTGCGAGACACCAATGGTCCTGAGGCTACGTGCTGCTCACGACATGGAGGAACTCGATGGGGAACCGGTGGTGACTGTAAGAGTGCCTACAACAGGCTTGGTTGCCCTCGCCGACCGCGTATTGTGTCTGTTTTGTCGCTTCAGGCTTGTCTACTTCCTTGCTGTGCTCATGTCTCCTTCCTTAGACGCAAAGGCCAGCGTTCGGAGGTCTCTCCGTTAAATAGCAGCTAGGTTCAGGTGGTAAAAGTTGCTGGGTTTTGGTTCTTTGTATACCCTCGTCCTAGAGATCTCATTAAATGCTGCTGCCTCCCTTGTCTTCCAAACCTTTCTAGTCTCCGTTTTTCTTGTTGGGCAGTAGAGTGGGCTCAGATCAAGCAGGAGAATTGTTTGCGTATTTATTTTCTTTCAGCCAAACTAATCTCCTCACCGTAGCACCATCAGCTTGACTTCTACCTGTCGTGTTGTATTGCCTTAAGGTTTAAGTAAATTTGTTCTTTCGGGGGATTCTTTCCTATTTTGTCTTGTTTTGTTTTGTGTTTTTTTGAGACTGTCGCCGTCGGTTCAGGCTGGCCTTCAGCTCATTTTGTAGCCCAGGCTGGTATCCAGCTTGAAAGGATCCTCTCCCTCATCCTCCCAGGATTACAAGAGTGTGCCACTACGCCTGGCTCAGTTTCCTGTTTTTATTGCCCCGTGTTCCTTTTGAGTTCTAAAGCGTGTACATGTATCAAATGTACATAGGCTCCGTGATGAAGAAGTTCGTCGGCTTTAGACCAGAGACATGCTGGCGGCCTGGAATGCTTTTCTTTTCCTTGCTTATGTCCTGCTTTTTTTCAAATGAAAGCTCCAGCAGATTGTTTTTCAGCAAAGCTAACCCGCAACTGTTCTACTAGGTTTAATATGTGCAAATATAGGCTTTCAGAGTTCTGCATCTCTTAGCGCTTGCTAATTTATAAATCCCACTGAAATTGTAAATTATACTGTATGTGGCTTTTTTGAGGAAGCGTGTTGGGGATTGACCGCAGGCCTTTTGCCCTGAGCTACATCCCAGACCTTCTTAAAATTTTTCTTTTTGGGACTGGGGATTTAGCCCAGCGGCATAAAGCGCCTGCCTTGCAAGCAGGCAGTCGTGAGTTCGATCCCTGGTACCGATAAAAAGGAAAAAGACAAAAAAATAAAAAATAAAATTTGTCTTTTTACTTGGAGACAGAATGTTGCTAGATTTCCCCAGGCAAGGCTTGCAGCCTTCCTGTTTCAGCCTCTCAGCGCCCTGGGATTGCAGGTGTGTGCCATCATGCTAGGCCCATGTATGTGCTTTTGAGAAAAATAGAGTGACATTCAGTGGCACTTTATCAACCTACATGTTATCTTGTCTTCTCTCTTCCACTCATGTCAGGACTTCTGTTTGTGGGGGAATTTTCAGCTCCAAGCTTACTGTTCAACTCCAAGCCTTACTTTGATACTGAGCTGTGATTTACAAGAGGAATGAGGATGCTCTAAACTGATGTTCATACCTAGTAGTGATGTAGTGAGTTAGCATTAGGGAGACCACGTGGAGAGCTGTTTAGCATGGTGTGTAGAGTCTGATTGAAGGGCATTATCTTGGCGTAGAGCTCCGTAGTCTAGAGTGTGGAATTCCACTCTGCAATTCAAACTGTGTCTTTAGACAGATGCTTCTCATTGACTCATAATGGCATGTTAGTAACTGGCACATTCAGGGATGGTTAGCATAGATTCAAAGACAGTAATCTTTTTTGTTGTTCTGGTTTTTTGATTTTGTAATATTTGGGACAGGGCCTCACCATGTAGTTGTGGCCAGCCTGGACTCAGTGTGTATTCCAGGCTGGTCTTGAACTTGAGTTAGTCCTCCTGCCTCAGCCTCCTGGGTGCTAGGATTATAGGCAAGTGCTGCCATCCCTGGCTTGTTTTGGTTTCTGAGACAGGGTCTTGCTATATAGTTCACTCTGGACTTCAACTCACTTTGTAGCCTAAATTGGGCTGGTACTCAGTGATGTTCCTACTTTGTTGGAGAGCACTGAAGCTGAATACAGGCACAGGGCTGTGGTGTGGCCTGGGCCTGATTGAGCTGAGACTGAGGAGATGTCTCAGGGGGCAAGATAAGCCGAGGCTTCCTAGAGACTTTCTGGATAATTTTCCTTAATTAGCATCGTCTGTTGCTCTGAGGAGTCCTTGCACCCCTCCCAAGATCCTGATCAGATTTCCGCCCTTGTCCACTGGGCTTGCTTGCTCTCATTAAATACTGGGTACCTAGCATCAGTCAGGTGGCCGGCTAACACAGGAGTTCTGTTGAGGATCTCACTTGTCTTGTAGCCCTAAAGACCATGCTGTGTGTCTCATTGCTTTGTGCCTTTGCTGTGTACCCATTTGGGGAACTGGGGGTCTGCGCACACACCCCAATAGTACTTCAGCCTCCTGAGTTCTGGGATTACCCATGTGCACCACCATGCCCAGTTTTTCAATTTGTAATTTTTTTCTTTTACATTTTGTGCTTTTTTGTCCAATCTTTGCTTATTTCAAGGTCAGAAAACTTTTCTGTACTTTCATTGCTTTTTTGTTTCTTTGTTTTTGGGTGTGGGATCTTGTTAGGTAGTGAACTTGCTATAGTCTTCCTCGAGCATCCTGAGTGTATGGATTACAGGTGTGGACCACCATCCCAGGCTTAACTTTAATTTTCCTTATGTTTTATTTTTAGTTCTTTTATTTTACTTTTATTTTTGAAAGATCTTACTAAGTTCCCTAACTTCTCTCCAACTTGTAATCCTCCTGCTTATAGTCCCAGAGTGCTAGGATCATAGACATGTATCACTTTTTGCTTATGAATATCTAGTGCTCTAGCAGATTGTATAAAATGTTTCACCCTTGTCTGTTCATTCCTGTTAGGAGATGGTCCAGGTGGGTTGAGATGTAGCTCATTGGTGAGGTCCTGTCAGAAAAAAAAGGCCAGGTGAGGTAGTGCATGCCTGTGATCCCAGTGCTCAGGAGGCTGAGGCAGGAGGATCGTCATGAGTTCAAGGACATCATAGGCTACAGAGTAAGACTGTTTAAAAAAAAAAAGACAATCAGAAAGCAATTATTCCAGACAAGTGTGTTAAATACATTGTTACAAAACACAGTGTATTGAATTAGGAAGGTTCATATTAGATAAGACCATGTCCATCCATTTGTTATCAACTGTGCACCTCAGTCATGTGTGTACTCTGGTTGGTTGTTTTATGACATCTCCAGTTCATCCATTTACATGGGCGTTTAGCTCTTGTCCAAAGGCATTTGATTGGGTATTTACAAATAAGTATAATTTATGCTTTCATTTAAGTATCAATGTTAATAATGTTTGTGTATACCTGTACTTTTCAGTTTTTGTGTTAGTAATGTTTGTTTGTTTATTTATTTATTTATTTTTGCAGTGCTGGGGATAAAACTCGACCTTGCACTTGCCAGGAAAGTGCTTGTTTCATTGAGCTAAATCCCCGACCCAGTAATGTTTATTTATCTTGGGTACTGGAATTCAAACGTATATCTTGGCATCTGCTAGGCAGGTGCTTATGCCACTGACCTACATTCCTGGGTTCTAATAATGTTTATGTACCTATACCTGTATTGTTTTTTGGAGATAGGGTCTCACTATGTAGCCCAGACTAAAGTCAAACTCCTGGGGATTTTCCTGCCTCAGGCTCTCAGGTGCTGGGATTACAGCTGTGTGCCATCAGGCCTGGCTTAATTTATATACTTCATTTGACAGTTTATACCAGTACAGTGAAACTAAATTTGTGAGACAATGGATGTCAGCTTAGATATCATCAATTTACTATAAAGAGAGGAGTGGAAATCCATTGCACAGTGGACGATTTCAGAGTATTCAGTGAATGGGCATTGTAATGCAAGGCCTTTTTTTTTTTTTTTTTTTTTTTTTTTTTTTTTTTTGTCTTTTTGAGATAAGATCTTACTATGCAGTTCAGGCTGGCCTTGAACTCACTTTGAGGCCTAGGCTGGTCTCGAACTCACAACAATCCTCCTGCCTCAGCCTCCTGAGTGCTGGGTTTACAAGTGTGAGCCACCATGCCCGGCTAGCAAGAACATTTTTTTCCTTTTTTTTTCCCCCCTTTTTGGTATGGGGAATTGACCTTGGGCCTCACGCTTGCCAGATTGGTGCTGTACCACCAAGGTATATCCTGGGCTCTGTGATGCCATTTCAGTAGTGATTGATTTTGGTGTACACACTTTTTAAGAATGTCACTGTCTCTTAAACAATGCTTGTTGTCTAGAGCTACTTAGGTGCCTGTGCTATATCCTGGAGAATTTATCTCCAACTTTCACACTAACTGGATGAACCTTTGCATCCTTTCCTATAGAACCGATCCTGCAGCTTGTACTTACTGTCGCTTGCTGTACTTTTCCTGGATTTTTCTGGAAGGTTGATGCCTCCTTAGGGAACAGTTTCAGCTGCACTGTCAACCCTCAGTCTGGCAAAGAGCAGGAGGAACTTTGTAATTGTCTGTTCTGCCTGGGCTGTGGCCTAGGCAGCTCACATTTCACTCTTGGGCCACCTCTGCAGGAAGAGAGCTGGGGACACCTCAGGAATTGGGAATTTCTATTTTTTGTTTTAGTAGCAGTTCAGATCATTGTTCCTGGCTTTTCTTTTTCTGAACCCCCAGTGAGAGAATTGCTTAGAGGATGGCTTTCCTTTACATTAACACTGAGCTGGACAGACTGGGCCCAAGTGCCCAGCAGAGCCTGCTTGCTCAATCAGGGCTGTCATTGTCCAGAAACCCTCTCAGTAGTATACTTGATTAGCCTTGTTAACTTTCTTGACAGCTCGTTTCTGTGATTATACTTGCATGTTGACTGAAAAGCAATGCCTCAGTAGAAATGATTGATTCTGTGCCTTATTTTTTTTTACTAGTTGATCCCAGGTGTGAATTCCAAGAAGCAAATGTGCTTTGACTGGGGTCCTGGGGAGATACTGGTCTGTGAAACCTTCTTCAATCAAAAAGGTAGTTTTTCTTTTCTTTGAGATTATTTATGTTGCTGTGTTTGGTTGTCTCTCTGACTCCCCTTGTCTTTCTTTGTTTCTTTCTTTCTTTTTTTTTTTTTTTTTTTTGAGATGGGGTGGTGTTATGTAGTTTAGACTGGCCTTGATCTCACTGTGTAGTCCAGCCTGGCTAACCCGAAGCCAGGGTCTCACTAAGTCACCAAGTTGCCCAGGCTAAGGCCCATTTTGGGATCTTTTTGCCTTAGCCTCCCAGTGTACTGGGATTTTAGGTGTACTCCACTACACTCAGCTTCAAAAAGAATATTTTTCCTAGGTGAGGTGGCTACTCCTGTAATCCAGGCACTTGAGAGGCTGAGGCAAGAGAATGTTTACAAATTGAAGACCAACCTGGGCTACCTGAACTGAACTGAACTGAAAAAGACAAAAAAGTTTATTTTTTATTTGACCAAATGACTCTTTACTTCAATTGTTGAGTTTTATGTAGACTAATGTTAAGTGAACAAAGATTAAGGTCACAGTGTTTAAATTTTTTTTTGCAGTACATTTCAGTTGTTGGAGGCCAAAGATAGTTTTACGGTGCGGTAGTAGCCTGAGGAGAATAAACATTTATGTTTAAAAATTCAGCTGGTGCCACGAAGCACTTTGGAGGCTGAGGCTGAGGTAGGAAGATCTCTACAAGTTTGAGGCCCACCTGGGCTCTAAAGTGAGTTCAAGGGCAGCCTGAACCACACAGTGAAATCCTGCCTGAAAAAAAAGATTTAACAAAATATTCAGCTGGGCCTGGTGGCGCATGCTTGTAGTCCTGGCACTCTGGCAGGTTGAAGCAAGAGCAGTTTAAATTTGAGACACAACTTTGTAGCAATACCTTCCCTTAAACTAACATTAATAGAAAAGGGCTTGGAATGTAGCTCAGTGCAGAGGCCTGGGTTCAGTCCCAAGTACCATGCAGAAATTGTGCTGGCGTGATGGCACACACTGTACCTGTGGTCCCAGCATTTGGGAGGCTGTGGCCAGAGGATTTCACATTTCAGGGCAGCACGGGGCTGCACAGTGAGGCTCCATCTCAAATAATGCATGAGATCGTATATAGAAAGTGGTTATATAGCTCAGTGACGGAGCTCATGCTTTGTATGTACAAACTTCTAGGCTCAATGTGAACACTAAAAAGTAAAATTCATGGTGTATGGGTCATCAATAAATAATCCATTCTTCTTTAGATGTCCCTTTGTGTGTGATGGGGATGTCAGGTCTTGCTGCAGTGGCCTTGTGGACTGATGCTGGGGTAGGCAAGCATTCTGCCCCTGACTTTACTTCATATAAATGAAAACTACACTTTAGGGATTTTGTTTTAAGACAGGCTCTCACTGTGCAGTTCAGTCTGGCCGTGAACTCAAGGAAGTCCTCCTGCCTCAGCCTCGAGAGCACTGGTATTACAGATATGCATCACCACATTTAGTTTAAACTTGAGCGTTTGTATATGAAATTAGTAGCCCAGGAGTTAAAGCTCTGTCTCTCTGTCTGTCTGTCTGACTGTACTGGGGATTGTACCCTGGGTCCCTCCTGTTGAGCTACATTCCCAGCTGTTTTTTTTTTTTTTTTTTTTTTTTTTTTTTTTTTTTATGAATTTTGAGACAATAAGGACAGGGTGTCATGAAATTGCCCATGCTGGCCTTTAATGTTGACAGTAGGTCATGCCTCCACACCCACTGAGCTAACTAAAGATTTTCTTTAGTTTGTTTGTTTGACATATGTCCTCACTACCGTGTGTAGTTCAGGCTGGCTTTAAACTCACTGTGTAGCCCAGCATAGCCCTAACTTTGAGGCAATCCTTTTGCCTCAGCCTCCTTTTTTTTTTTTTTTTTTTTTTTTTCTTTTTTTCTTTTTTTAATACTGCGAATCACACTCAGGGCCTTGTGCTTGCCAGGCAGGCTACTGTGCCACTGAGTAATAGCCCCAGCTTGTGCCTCAGTCTCCTGAGTGCTGGGGTTACAGGCTTGCATTTGGCTCTGAATAGCTTTTCTTTTGAGGGAGATTATGATAAACGTCACATTATTTTTTTCTGTTCAGTTTCAGAAACATCTGAGATGGTACCAAGCTGCCCCTTTATCCATATCATCCGGAAGGATGTAGATGTTTATTCTAAAATTTTGAGAAAACTCTTCAATGAATCACATGGAATCTTTGTGGGCCTTCAGAGAATTGAAGAAGAATTGAATGGAAAATCCAGAAAAGCCCAGTAAGTAGCCTGCTTTATTTATTTACTTATTTATTTATGGAATGAGATTTGAACTCAGGATGTGTGCCACTGAGCTAAGTCCCCAGCCCCTTTATCAGTTTATGTTTTTAGCTTATTTAACCTTTCAAAAGGCCAAGTAAGCAGAAGAGTCATTGAATATAGTCCAATTAGGAGATTAAAAAACTATTAAAAGGAGTTTTAAGAGCCTTGGCTGGATGTAGTGGCACGTGTCTGTGATCCCAGCAGTCTTGAAACTGACACAGGAGGATGGCCTTGAATTCAAGGCCAGCCTGCACTACATAATGAGTTCAAGGCCAGCCTGAACCTCCTAGAGCCTGTCTCAAACACAAACAGAAAGCCAGGCATGTGAGATTTGGTGGCTTCTGCCTGTAATTCAAGATAGTCAAGAGGCTAAAACAGGTTTATTAAGTTCCAACCCATCCTGGGCCCTTTAGCAAGACTATATCCCTAAAAGGGCTATTCTGTAGCTCAGTGGAAGATTATGTTTGGGTTTGATCACCAGTGCTGCAAACTGAACAGAAAAACTTTTGTTTTGCTTATTTTTTTCCTGGTAGTAGGGACTGAACTCAGAGCTACTTACTGGTTCCTTTTAAATTCTCAGTCTGGCTAAATTGTACAGACTAGCTTTAAACTTGGGATCCTTCTGCCTTAGCTTTGTGAGCGGTTGAGATTATATGTGAGGGCCAGCAGACCTGGATACGACTATTCCCTTGTATTTTGTAGTTTTGTTTTGTCTTTTTCATTTTTCGTGGCACCAGGGATCGAACTCACAACCAGACACTTGCAAGGCAGGTGCTTTGCCAATGAACTAAATCTCCAGCCTCAATTTTATAGTTTTAATGAAACTGGAATGGAACCAGTGACCTGAGCTGGCTGGGAAAATCTCTGCCACTGGGCTTCATTCTATCAACCTATTACTCTTTTGTTTTTAATTTTTTTTTTGTCTTTTTCATTTTTATGGGTACCAGGAATCGAACTCATGACTGCACACTTGCAAGGCAGGCGCTTATGCCACTGAGCTAAATCCCCAGCCCCTACTCATTTTAAAATGAAGTCACTGAGTGGGCTTTATGTCTCACCTTCCAGAGGAAATGTTTTTCTTGCAGTGGAGAGCTATGTCTCATCTGGCTGTGATGATGTAAACTTGTGCTCCAAGCTCTCTTCTGTCTTCCCAGGATTTGGGAGGCTGAGGCAGGAGGATAGCGAGGTTCTCTCCTCCCTGCCACACCCAGTCTCACTGTGCTGTTCAGGCTGGCCTTGAGCTCACTGTTGTAAGCCTGGCTGGCCTTGAACTCACAAGTGTTCATCCTTCCTCAGCCTCATGAGTGTTGGGATTACAGGTGTGTGCCACCATACCTGGCTTAAGGATAGAAATTTAAGGCCAGCGTAGACAATTTAGTAAGACTGCCTCTGAAAAACACCAAAGCCAAAACTAAAAACCTGTCTTAGTGATTGAAAAATGATTGTTTTGTTTTCTTGTTAATTTGCTTCATTCTGGGGTTGGGAATTTAACTCGGTGGTACAGCACCTGCTTGGAAAGCATGAGGTCTTGAGTTCAATTCAAAATACAAAAAAAATTTTTTTGCTTTGTTCTTTTCATTTCCCTGGTTTGGTTTTGTTTTTAGTATGGAGGGTCCAGGTTGAACCAGCGCCACCAACCTGAGGCTCGTCTGTAGCTTTCTTTTTGGTAGCGCAAATTGAGCTCATAACCTTGCAGTTGCCAGGCGGCACTTATACCAGGGAGCTGAATTCCTGTCCCTCTGAATGCAGATCCAGCCCTGTTGTTTATTTTTTATGTTGAGACAGGGTCTCACTAAATTGTTCAAGCTGGGCTTGAACTTGTGATTGATCCTCTTGCCTCAGCTTCACAGAGTGCTGGGATCACAGGCAGGTATCACCGTGTCTGGCTTGAACTAGTTGTGTTTTATACATATTTATTTATTTATTTAATTTACTTGTTTTGAACTAGTTTTAGCCATCCAGAAAAATTAAAAGATGATTTTTTTTGTTATTCAGCTTCCCTAATCTTAATGTCTTTCACAATTGTATTATCTGGGTATTAAAACTAGGATGCAAAGATTGACATTGACTCTGTCTGCTCAACTGAAGACGATTTCTGTTTTGCTGGTTTTCCCTTCTGAGGTGGCCTTTTCCCTCCCTCAGTCTTTTTCATGACCTTCTACTTTGAGGAATATTGATCCGTTGTCTCATGGAACATCTGTCAGTTTGTGTTCGTCAGAGGTTTCTCATTCTTGGACAAGCATGCATTAGTGAGGATAGCACCAAAGTGGCCATTTGTTCTCAAGTATATTTATTGTGTCATTCAATTTTTTCCAGCTTTGGATTAGGTAAAAGTTCAGGTTGACCTTTCTTTCCAGTTAGCAAGTTCACACCTTTATTGAGCTCTCTCTTACTGTCTGGAACCACAACATGCTCCAGATTTAACTTAAATGTGTTCTCATTTTTCATAGATTGGTTCGTGTGAGTAAGAACTACCGATCCGTCATAAGAGCTTGTATGGAGGAGATGCACCAGGTTGCACGTAAGGATGATGCGTCCCTGTGTGGGGCTGTGTGCTCAAGGTCCAAAGTAAGATTCTTTGCAAAGTCGTTAGTGGTTGGTTGACCTTGGTGATGAAAATCACTTTAATCATGAGAGCTACATGATTGCCTTATGCCTGACAGACTTTGTATAACAATGTGGTGTGTTTATCAGAGGCCGAATTGCAGTTGAAAGTGCTGCTTGTAACTTATGGGGTTGGTTTGAGAGTTACAGATCTGCACCTAAGGGATTGGCATTAAAGAATTTTATTGTATTTGGTAGTGGGGATTGAACTCACCACCTTGAGCTTGCCAGGCAGATGCTTATCCCACTGATCTAAATCCCTGGCTCAAGGCAGGCATTAAAAAACCATCTAGAATCCAGGTATAGTGATCCGTAGTCTCAGCACCTGGGAGCTTGAGGCAGGAGGATTGCTGTGAGGTAAAACTGGGCTACATAGTAAGTTCATGGCCAACCTGAAGTATCCAGTGAGACCCTGTCTCAAAGAAAGAAAGAAAGACAAGAAACTATTGCAACAGATATATCTAGAGAGTTGCATGGCAGAGGGGAAAACAAAAGAAAATGTGGAATGAAAACAGTCATTGAAAGAAACAAGGGCACAAGCTACAGATTCTGGTAGATGCTACAATAATGAGTCTGCAAGTTTCATTGCTCACTTACAATGTTCTCTTCTGTCTTGCTAGTTGCTGGGAAAGATGGAGCCAGTGGCCACCAATTCAGCAGCCAGGTACTGGAAGCTGCCTTTTGTTTTTTTGTGGTTTTTTTTTTTTTTTTTTTTTTTTTGCATGGCTAAGTGTTTGGCACCTGCCTAGGGTGGCTCTGCAGTTACTGTCATGGCAGAAGTCTTTTCTTTCTAGGTAGATGGGCACCTCCTTGAGGTGGCAGGGATCATCTTAAATTTCTTGGTGCCCTTTCAGTGTCTAACATTGACAAAGATCTGCTGGATAAATAATCGTCTGAGTTTTCAGTTTTGGTGTTTTAGTCACAAAGACTCATGAATTCTTGTCGATGTCCGCTCCCGGCCGGCAGGAAAGACACACGACAAGGTCTGGCGGTGGTCAGGCTTTTCTTTATTCTCTCCTTATACAGTCTGCCCCGAAGCCTCTCCGCGGCTCCTTCCGTGCTTCAGTCTGCCCCGAAGCCTCTACCGGTCCGCTCCCCGCGGCTCCTTTTGTGCTTCAGTCTCTCTCTCTCTCGGGGGTGGAGGCACTGGCTATATATAGGATTAATAGCTAGGCAGACTACCCTGTGAGGCGGGAACTTAGTGGGGTGATAAGAAACAGGTGCCACACAGGCGGGCTCGATGAGAGGGGTAATCTAGCCCAGGCTTTTGTACTTTCCCACAGGCCTCGCAATCACCGCGTCTGATGACTTGACAGTGCCACGGCTCCCAACATCTCCCCCTATTTTATTTTAAATGATGGCTACGCGCATCGCAGCCCGTCCTGGATAGAGTGCAGAGGCCTATGCCCCGAACTGAGGCCCACCGTAGGCCCTTAGCATAGACCCTGGTCGGCCGTCCCAGGGTCCACCAAGGCCCTGAGGCCCTCGTCCTTTTTTCTAGGGCCAGGAATGAACCGGACGGAACCTGGTTGCACATAGGCATGCACTCATTTCTCTCCACGAATCCCCTCGGAGAGAAATTTATCTAACAATCCAGCGGCTTTCGAGCGGAACGGGGTAGGGCCTGGCTTAGGTTGAGTCGTGCTGGGGAGGCACGCTCTTACCCGTCATTGACTCACCCACCCTGCTACATGTTGTTGTCTAGGGAGGAGAATGTGGGAAGCCTGTCACTTTTAAACGCGGTCGTAGGCCATGCGAGCGAGCCATGCGTATACAAGGGTAGCACATAGGGGAGCAAGCCGTTCCAGGCCCCCAAAAAGGGATTGTCCTGCAGTTCTTTTAGGGCTCATCTTGTTGTTGGATCTGCGGTTGGCCTCTGGTGGAACAGGCCTGATCTTCAGTCGAGGGACTTGTCGCGTCAACCTCTCTGGGACCCACATTGGCTCTCGTCCCGATTCCTGCGGAAAGACACAAACCGTGCCTCGGCTTCCTCTTTTGTATCTCTGCCCTCCTTGACGGACCCTTCTCGGGAGCTTCCTCACTGTGCCTGTTCAAACACCTCGCGTACTTCTACAAGTTCTTGAGAGCTCCCCCCGTAACTACCCTCACTCTTTAGGCACGTGTGTATCATTTCCCACAATGGACGAGCAGAGACTGAAGCTCTACCCTCCCGCTCTGCTAGGGAAAGGTCTCTGCCCAACTTTTCCCAGGAGGGCAGGTTTACATGCCCTGTAGGCAGAAACCAGGGAGCAAAGCTGTCAATCTCTGCAAGGAAATTTTCTAAAGTCTTACGCCCCACCTTGAGGTCCTTGGACTTTAGGAGTCTCCGAAGGACCAACACCAAGGCTGTGTATCTTTACTTGGCATGTTTCCCATTTTTAATATATCTTCTGTTATTTTTACTTCTATGTTTATGTTTTACACTCTTTTATTACCTTAAGTTCTGGTGTTATGTTTCATACTCACCGCGTGAGGTTGAGAGGAGTCTACAAACCCTGTAGGTGCGCGCCACCCAGGGCCCAGGCTTATCCTCTACTCACCTGTCCTGCAGCTGCAGCACTGTGTAGGAGAATGCAGTCCACCGCCGCGTCTCGGGGTTGATCAATCCCCGTGCGGGCCTCCAAATGTCGATGTCCGCTCCCGGCCGGCAGGAAAGACACACGACAAGGTCTGGCGGTGGTCAGGCTTTTCTTTATTCTCTCCTTATACAGTCTGCCCCGAAGCCTCTACCGGTCCGCTCTCCGCGGCTCCTTCCGTGCTTCAGTCTGCCCCGAAGCCTCTACCGGTCCGCTCCCCGCGGCTCCTTTTGTGCTTCAGTCTCTCTCTCTCTCGGGGGTGGAGGCACTGGCTATATATAGGATTAATAGCTAGGCAGACTACCCTGTGAGGCGGGAACTTAGTGGGGTGATAAGAAACAGGTGCCACACAGGCGGGCTCGATGAGAGGGGTAATCTAGCCCAGGCTTTTGTACTTTCCCACAGGCCTCGCAATCACCGCGTCTGATGACTTGACAGTGCCACGGCTCCCAACAAATTCTCTCAGCTATAAGTAGTTATACTCTAATTAGAATGGGAAGATGACTCCTAGGATTTCTTCCCTTGCTGGAGTCTTGGTCCCAACTCAGTAGCAAATAATGAATAAAACCTTGTCTCTGGCTAGTAAAGTAGACCAGCTGCTGAACAAGCGATGTGATGGCACATGGGGACAGAAGGATGGTGGCAAAAAGCAGCTAACATTTATATTGGCCGTTTTTTGGAGTTTTTGTTTTTTTTTTTTTTTTTTTTTTTTTTTGCATCAAGGATCATACTTGAGACCGCCTGCTTGCCAGACAAGTAGTATGCCGCTGACCTCTCTATGCCCTGCCCTGTATTGGGCTTTGCTTTCTTTCTGGTTTTGTTTGGTTCTGGGGATTGAACCCAGGGCCAAGTGTATGCTAAGCACGTGCTCGGCCATTGAGCTACAGCTGTACCCTGGGCTTTGCCATTATTAATACATTGTTTCCTAAACTTCAGTACTTGTAATACCAACTTCATTATAGGTGTGCACAAACACTCCTGGACACCCCTCGCCTCTCCTTCATCATTTCTTTTTTTCTTTTTCAGTTTGATCTTTGAGATAGGTTTCCATTCTACTGGAAGCTGGCCTTAAATTTGTAATGACCCTCCTGTCTCAGCCGCTGGGTGCAGGAGTTACAGGCATTCACCACAATACTCACCTTCCTTTTTTTCTGAGGTGTCCTCCTGTTTTCATATTGCCTTCCTAAATTATAATTCATGCGACTCATTAATACACTGTTTTATATTTCTAATGCACATTAAAATGAAATCAGAACCATTAAAATAATGGTGGTCTACAGATCAGCGTGTGAAATGCTCTCATGGTCTGCCCTGTGGGAAATTCTCTCAGAGGGAGGCCAGGAACTGGTGAGTTAATGAATGTCCATTATGTGCTTTACGTCTTGCTATATTCCTGTGCTCTAAGAACAAATCTTAGTACTTTTCATTAAAACCTGCTTTTGTTTCTTCCATAGGTCTCCATTTTATCAGCGATGGAGCTAATTTGGAACCTGTGTGAGATCCTTTTCATTGAAGTAGCCCCAGGTAAGCCTGGGATAATCTCATCATAATACATAAGGGGTTCTTGCTGTCCTGCTGTTTTTTTGTATTTCCTGTGCCAACAATGTTGTCTCCAGTTTTTCCCCTCTTCACTTTTCTTGGTGTCTTTGAGACGGAGTTTTATTATACAGTTCAAACTGGCCTTTGAACTCACTTTGTGCCCCAGCTGGTCTCAAACTTACACTGATCCCATCCACCCTCAGCCTTCAAGGTGCTGAAATTGCGGTTGTGTACACCGTGCCCAGCCTTCTAGTTCTTTACCACATACTGTCTGAAATCATTATAAAATACCCAAAGAAATGTGACATTTTGTCAGAGACTGTAAGAAGAATCATGTGGAGTTCTTTATAGAAACCTAAACATTAGGGAGATGAACTGTTTTTAAAGATGAACTTTGAAAAACAAATCAAGTTTCTTCTAGTGTGTGAAAGTGGTAGTATTGACATTATAGATATTTCATTTGAGCTGAAAGTTGTCTCCATGTGGGGAGGAATAAGGAGATGGGTGTAGAAGACACTTTGAGAATTCTGCAGCTAATAATTGGGTGGGGTAACCATGTGTTTTAAACCTGTATAATCAATCATGAACTACTATATGGCCCATATAGTATCATGGCCTGGGTGTACTTTGTATGGAGGTGCAACAGGTGTTTATTTATTGTCTTTTTGAGATGGGTTTTCTTTTTCATTCATTTATTAGTGATACCGGGTATTGAGCCCAGGGCTTCCCCACTGAGCTATGACCCCAGCCATGCTTATTTTAAAATTTTATCAGTACCTGTTTCCAGGACATGAAACTTATAATCACCTTAAGGAGTAGGTACATTTATGTAACATGCCTTGATTTTTTTTTTTTTTTTGTTTTTGTTTTTGTTTTAATTTCCCTTCCTAAACCATATGTGGTGACTCATCTCTATAATCCCAGCACTCTGGAGACTGAGGAGGAGGATAGTTAAAGTGAGTTTGAGACCAGCTCAAGGCCAGCCTGAACAGCTAGTAAGACCTCTGTAAAAAAAAAAACAATTGTTTTTTCTTTCCATTACCCTTGTATTTCAGTATTATTATTATTTTTTCCTTGAGAAAGGATCTCTCTATGCATTTCAATTTTAATTTTTATGTATTTATATATATATATTTATATTTATATTTGATACTGGGACTTGAATTCAGGATCTTGCACTTACTAGGCAGGTGCTGTGCCACTGAGCTATATCCCTGGTTCCTATTTTTAATTGTTTAGACAGAGTTTCACTATGCACTGGCATTACTTGAACCTGAGATGCCTTGCCTTCACCTCCCAAGAGTGCTGGTTTTTTTTTTTTAAATCTATTTTATTCATAGATAGAAAAAGAAGAAAACTACAAAATTTCCAAACATTGTCAATCATGCAGCAGCAATGATATATATATTGTGCATTGTAGTCCCCAAATCATTCACCCAGAGCCCAAGACATCTGCATTCAATTGTTCAGCACTAGCGCAAAGCTTTCTCTTCAGCAAACTTGGAGAAATCAGTAGCACAACTATATCAGGTATTTTTTATGTACATACACATATACATGTTTTTTCTTTCAGGTTGTCATGCTATTGAAGCTATGTTTGCACATGTGTGTTTTATTGATTGCACTAATGAGTGTGTTCTCAGGTTGCATCCATTTACCTATAAAAGTGTCCATTTTATCCTTTATGGCTGAGTAGTACTGCATTGTAGAAAAATAGCACGTCTTTTTTACCTTCCTCAGGGGATGGGCATATAGGTTGTTTCAAAGATCTGGCTATTACCATCTGTGCTGCTGTAAACATGGTTGTCCACCTGTCAGTGTGGTATGATGTTTGTAATTCTTTTGGGAAGATACCTAGAAGGAGTCTAGCTGGGGTGAAGGGGAGCTCCAATTCTAATTTTTTTTTTTCTATTTTTGTTTGGTATTGAGGATGGAACTGATGACTTCACACTTTGCAGGCAGGTGCTTATGCCACTGAGCTAAATCCCCGGCCCCATCCTAGTTTTTAAAGGAATCTCCACACTAATTTCCACAATGGTTGCATCAGTCTGAATTCCCATCCACAGTGGAGAAGGGTTTCTTTTTCCCCACAGCCCCTGCAGCATTTTTTTGTTTTTTTTGTACCAGGTATGAAACTTATAACCATGCACTTGCAGGGCAGGTGCTTCTAATCCTGAGCTAAGTCCCCAGCCATCTCCTGCATATGTTATGGATTTATTTCTTGATACTATCCATTCTTTCTAGAATGAGGTGGAATCTCAGTGTTGTTTTAATTTGCATCACTTGAATGACCAGTGATGCTGAACAGTTTTTCACGTATTTATTAGCTGTTTGTATTTCTTCATCTGAGAAATGTATATCCATCTCAGCTGCCCATTTTTGGACTGAGTCTTTAAATGTGGGAGGACTGATTTTTTGAGCTGTTTATGGGTTCTTGATAGTAATTCTTTGTCTGAGGTACAGCTGGCAAACATTTTCTCCCACACTGTGGGTTGTCTCTTCACTGTGTTGGTGGTTTCTGTTACTGTGCCAAAGCTTTTCAGTTGGGTGAGATCCCATTTGTTGATTCTTTGCAGTAGTTCCTGTGCAGCCTGGGTTTTGTTCTTTTTTTTTTTTTTTTTTTTGTAGTGGTATCAAACTCAGGACCGTGCACTTGCACGGCAGGCACTTATGCTGCTGAGCTAAATCCCTGGCCCTTTGTATTGTTTTTTTAATCTCTTGTGTGTTAATTTCTGCACTGATCTTTAGGATTTCCTTCCGTTATGAGCTTTTGGATTAGCCTCCTCTTCTTTTTCTTTAAGTTGTTTATTTGTGCTTGCTCTGTTTTCCCAATACAGGTATTTACTGCTATATACATTTCCTTAAGACTGGTTTCATTGTGTCCCACAAGTTTCAGTGTGTTTTATTGTTGTTAGCATTCAACTTAAAAATTGTCTAATTTCTTTAGTTTCATCTGTGACCCAATGATTTTTCAGGATGGTGCTATTTAATTTCCATGTGTTATGAATTTGTGGTTTCCCTTCGCATGGGTTTCCAATTTCATTGCATTGTGGTCTGATAGTTATGCATGGGATAATTGCAATTCTTTGCATTAAGCATGTCTATGAGTCAGTATATAGTCTGTTTTGGAGATTATCCTTTGTGCAGCGGAGGAAAATGTGTATTCTGATGTTGTGGGATAGAATCCTCTACAGACATCCACTAGGTCCATTTGTTCATAAGTTTGATTTAGTTCTAATATTTCATTATTGTTTGGACATTATTGTTTTGTCCAGTTGATCTCTCTTTGTCACAATGTGGGTATTGAGGTCTCCCAATACAATTGTATTAGGACTTGTTGATTGTTCATCTCCATTATTAACTGTTTTTCATAGCTGGGTATTTGTTACATATATGTTTATGATTGTTATCTCTTCCTCTTGGATTGTTCCCTTTAAAAGGATGTAGTGACATTCTTTATCTCTTTAATCAGTCCTGGCTTGAAATTCACTTTGCCTGCAAATAAAATAGCTTCCCCAGGTTTTTCTGTGTTCTTGTCACATGGAGTATTTTTTCCATCCTTTGACTTTGAGTGTATGAATTTCTTTTTGAATTAAATGTGTTTCCTGTATGCAGCATATTGTTGGATCTTGCTTCTTGATGCACTCTGCCAGTCTGGTTTTTGATTGTTGAACTGGGACCATTAACATTGATGATTATAACTGAAGTGCATCGACTTGTGTTGTGTTGTGTTATTTTCCTGTTATTGGCTCTCCCCCTTTTTTCCTTCCCTCTAATTGTTTGACTTTCCTGATGGATTCTTTCTATTGGGGGTTTATGGAGCTGTAGTCCTTGTTATCTCTTTGTAGAATGTCCTTCTGAACATTTTGGAGTGCTGGTTTGGTGGTCATAAATTTCCACAGCTGTTCTTTGTCATGGAAGTATCTTATTTCTCCATCAATTTTTTTTCTTTTTGGTTCCGGGGATCAACTCAAGACCTAGTGCTTGCCAATCAGGCTCTTACACCATTGAGCTAAATCCTTGGCCCGTCTCCATCATTTTCTAAAGATAGTTTTGCAGGATACATCAATCTGGGTTGAAGGTTGTTTTCCTTTAGAACTTAAGAGTACTTCTCTCCAATCTGTCCTTTACCTGAGAAGTTTTGCTGAAAAGTTAGCCATGATTCTGATGGCTTTCTTTTATAGGCAATTTGTTTGTTTTCTCTAACAGCTTTTAGGATTCTATTGAGTTGAATTTCTGGAATCTTGACTATGATGTGCCTGGCTATAGTTTTTTTTTTCATTGTTGCTAATTGGAGTTCTATATGCCTCACTTATTTGTCAAATTCATCTTCTCTACCAGGAAAATTTTCTGTGACAATGTGTGTGAAGATGTTTTTAATGTCATTTGTGGTATTTCCTGCTTATTCATTGAGTCCAGTTAATCTTATGGCATTTACGTTGTCTCATCTACCAGTTGCTGAATTGATTTCTTACGGTATCTTGCTGGTTTTGAGAAGTCTGTCTTTTTCTGGCCATTAACTGCAAGCCTGTCTTCCACATCAGAGATCCTGCCCTCATACTGGCCTACTTTGTGTCAAATAATTTCTTTGTGTGTGTGTGTCTCTATGTGTGTGTGTGTTCAGGCTGGCCTTGACTCACTTTGTAGCCCAGGGTGATCTCAAAACTCACAACTATCCTCCTGCCTCCTGAGTGCTGGGATTACAGGCATGAGCCACCACGCCCGGCTTGCATCAAGTGCTTTCAGTGGAGTTTTTAATCCTCCTAGATATCTGCTTGAAATTGTTTTATGGATTTCGTTTGTTTACTAGGCTGCACTTCCATAATTTGCTTAAATGTTTTTTTTGTGTCTGTTCTAATGTCATGGTAATCTCTGTATTTATCTGAGAGATTATTTCTGAGTTCGTGTTTTACAAAGCCTCATTGAATTGCTGTGTTGTTTCCATTTCAGAGAGGTTGGGGGACTTCAGGATATCTTATCTCATTGCCCCTGGGTTTGCCTTTGGCAAACTTGATGTCTGGGGTTCATTTTGTTTGAATGTCTTATCATTTTATTTTCTCTTTTTTAGTTCAGTTCCAGGGGTGATGTTTGTAAGTTGCCTATGGAGGGTTGCTTTAATGGTAGTATTTAAGACTCTTAGGTGATGATTGCTTCTCTGAGATATCTTCCAGATTGAGGTGGATTTTGAGTTTTGGGTCTGTTGGAAAATCTTAGCTCTTCAGTTTGTTGGAGATAAACTATTGCTTGTTTGGCCCAGTCCCTGGTTCTTTGGCAGTGTGCCACCATAATTTCTGTGACTCAGTTAATCTCAGTCATGGATTATCAGGGCCAACAGCTGTTTAGAACAATTATGTTGGGCCACGAATTTAGCTTAGTGGCATAAGGACCTGACTGGCATGCGTAAATTTGTGAGTTTGACCCCCAGTAGCAAAAACAACAACAAAAACTCTTTGTGACTTAGAACAGTTATGTCAGTTTTTGTTGTAGTGGTATCAATAACATCAAACAGCCTAGGAAACAACAAACTGAGCTAACCCTTAATTTGCAACTTTAAATCATATGAACTAGATTTGCAATTTAATAATAAAATATAAAACCAACCAGATAATTATATGCATTATATAAGTTGTAATATGTCAGTTTTGCCCTTGAGGGCTCAAATTGAAAATGGATCAAGGAGCAAATAGAGAAGTAGAAGAGAAAGCAATTAGAAGCAAGATTGGAGGGCAGGGGGGAACCACGCCAAATTGGAGAAACTGGTGCAGAAGACTGAAGGAAAAGAGAGATGGAAGAGATAAAAGGAAGAACACAACAGAACCCACACCCCTAAAGTTAGGAACCACTTCCATACTCATATAAAAACAATTAAGGAGAAAGAGAAGCAAAACAAATACAGTCCACTTTCAGGACTGTGGAGTTCACTAGATAACCTGTAGAGACAGTCTTGAATTGTGCCGATCTATTCCAGCAAGTCAGCAGTTGCTTTCTGGCAAAGTGGTAGATAACCTTAGCAGGCCTGCCCTGAGACCAGACTCCTTAGGCTTGCTGGGGTCCAAGAAATTTCCATGTTTCTTCGCCCACCTAGGAGCTGCTGTGAGAAGCGGGCAGCAGTTCTGGGTTCCAGGCTTATCAGGCCCGACTCCAAAATGGCTCTGCACTAATAGCTCCTCCCCATGGAAGGACTGAATCCTTTGCACTCACAGCCAGCCAGTGCAGTCTTCCCCATCCACTGCTCCCCTCCACAGCCGTGTGTCACTGCATTGCCCTCTAGAGTCATGAGCTGTGACTGTGGCCATGACTGTGATTGTGACTGTATCCCCAGGTTCTAACAGCTTCTCTTGTGCAGTGAGTCAGGCTTAGGGTGAAGGTGCTGCAGGCCACCCCCTTCTTCTCCACTGAAGTTCAAATTTGTGATTCTCTTGCCTCAGCCCCTTAGAATGTTGGGATTATTGGCATGTTCCACTATACCTGGCTCATGTGGGCATGCTTCCCTTGAGAGAGGACTAAGCCTCTGCCCATGAGGCCAGCTTGTCTGTCTTAACATTCTCCATATTTTGGGTAAATCGGCTGCAGATAAAACCAAGGTTTTTGTGTATGACAAGTCTTTCTCCTCCCAGCTGGCCCTCTCCTCCTTCACCTTCTTGACTGGGTCCGGCTCCATGTGTGCGAAGTGGACAGTTTGTTAGCAGATGTTCTAGGCACTGGAAATCCAAGCAAACATGAGAGCTTCTGGAACTTGGTAAGGATGGCGTGCAGGCTGGGCCCCCTTCCTTGTGACTTGTATTTGCTACAGAGTGCTCTTAGGTAAGTGAGGTTATCCACCAAATTTCATTCTGTTTAGAGCTCTTCAAGCCCATGATTTTGGAGACATTCTTACATCTTCTGTGCTCCAGAGGTGGGCTTTCTTTCATTATAAGAAGAATAATGTTTCATAGACTATACCACAAAAAAGAAATTTGCTTTCTGTGTGGGTCTAAGGATGATTAGGCTTGAAAATAATACAAAACTGGCTGATAGAAGTAAGAATGGGGACTGAGCAGAATGCAAACAAGTGGTTGGTCATCCTGAGATGATAGAAATATTGAAGGCTAGGCATGTGGCTGAATGGTTGAGAACTTGGCCTTACATGTGTGAAGCTGGGGTTTGATTCCCAGTATGACCAAAAAATCAATCAATCAATCTAAATTTGGATAGTGGTGATTGTATATAAGTCTGTATACTTAAAACCTGATGAATTGTGCAATTAATGAGTAAATATTTATTGTGTAAAAATGATCTCCATGTAGATGGTAGAAATGTAGTGAAAAGCTTGATAATCCCAAAGTCTTCTGAGTTATCACTGTGTGTTTTGTGTGTCTGTGAGCAACACTGCTTCCCTTCACCTCTCGTCCTGTAGCCCCATTATAGTTCACTAGCATAGTGGAAGGTTGACTGTTCAGGTGACAAGCTGTTGCCTTTGAGATACTTGTGTGTCTGTTGGTGTCAGAACTGTGCAGGTGAGAGGAGGAATTTTGCTCAGATGTATTGGGCTGAATTTTGAGTCTTCAGTTCATTCTGTGTGTTTTGCAGGGCATCAAGGAAGTACCTATGACAAAAGCAGAAAAATCCCTGCCCTTATGGAATGACAGTCTTGGTGGGGAGACAGAAAGGACACATACGATTAAGCAGTGTGCAAAACATTAGTGGAGTTGGGAAGGCAGTGCGGTGGAATGGAGGCCTGGGAGTGATAGGAGCCACTGCTGAGGGTGGCAGGTGCTCCAGGTGCTGAAGCCTGCCATGCCAAGTCCTGCAGGTACAGTCAGCATGAGTGAGAGGCACAGAATGAGAGACCTGGCAGGCCCAGCTGGAGAAGGCCTCCCTGAACTTCAGCCTTTGGAGAGGCCATGCAGCAGAGTCTTGGTGTTCACTGCTTGAGTTCACAGCTTGCTGTGCCTCTTACAGGCTGTGACATCCCCACCCAGTCACACAATATCCTAGAGTGGTGGTGGTGAACTTGTGACACCCATGCCGCAGCAGACTGTATCACTGGAAGCTCTAAAAGGTTCGCCATCCCTGGCCCGCAGTGTTGAAGGAGGTGAATGTGTAAACTGCTGACTTGCTGATGACCAGAGAGAGTTTCAGTCTCACTCATGAGCGACAGGCATTAGAGAGCTGAGCGTTGGCTCACTGTGACCTGGTCCGGGCCTCCCCATGCTCAGCTGGCTCCCTGGTGAGGACAGGGACTGGTTTGGAGGCTGTTTTGCTGAACCAGGAAAAGATTGTAGGGGCTTGGATGCAGGGCAATGACTAAACAGAGTTCATGGCGAGAAGGGTTAGCATCTACACATGGTTTAAAGCTCGTGGGATTGCTGGTGGAGTAGATGCTGCTGTGGGAGTCTGGTAGCTAAAGGGAGTTACTGAGTTTGGTTTTTTGAGGCAGGGTCTCCACTATGTACTCCAGCTGGCCTCGAGTGATTCTCCCTGCCTCAGCCTCCCAAGTGGTAGGATCACAGGCATTGCCATCACTCCTGGCAGGAGTTTTTGACATGTTTATGATGTCTTTTTAGAGAGTTTAGTGGTGACACTGACTGGGCAGTTATATATATGAAGTACCAGAGAGAGAAGTTCACGAGAGGAAAAATTCAGACTGTTATGCATCCATCATAAATCTGGAATTTTTTGAGCATAACTGATGGTTAAAATTTTTTCATTTGTATTTTTACATACTGTCACACAGTTGATTTTCACTCTGTGTAGTAGTTACGATCTATACAGTTGCCTTGAACACTGCATTGGTAAATGCAGAATCATTGCTCCCAGGGGGAAATACAGGTTCTCTTTCTACCAGCCAGCCTGTCAGCGTGTTGTGCATGACCTTGTTTCACGTGGCTTTTACTTAGAGACAGCCCTAACACACACCGGTGACCAGTGACAGTGAACTCGGAGTGGTCAGCACTGTCTCACGAGCCCTAGTGAAGCATGTGCAACCCCAATCCCTTGCACCAGGAACACAAAGCAGGACCTCTGTACCGTGCTGAGGGCTCTGGGAAAGCGACCGAATGCCAGAAATGTACTCAGGACGACACATTTAGAGTGCGGAAGCTAGCACAAGGAGGCTGAGCAGGGCCTTGTTTGACCTCAGCTAGAAAAATGTATGTCAGACATTTCCAACTTGGGTTGCTTCGCATGAGGCCTTTTTAATTTCGGGGGGTGGGGGTGGGGCGCACGTACCCAGAATTCAGCTGCCGACCTTGTACTTGCCAGGCAGGTGCTGTGCTGCTGAGCTGTATCTCTGGCCCCTTTTTGTTTTTTGAGATAAGGTCTCGCTGTGTATAATCCAGGTTGGCCTCATACTTGTAGACCTGCCTCAGCCTTGCAAGTGTAGGAGACCCAGATATGTACTGCCACGTGGGCTGCACTTGGCTTTGAATGATGGTGAAAGCACCTGAATAATAAATGTGTGTGTGTGTGTGTGTGTGTGTGTGTGTGGTTTTTTTTTGTTTTTTTTTTTTTTTTTTTGGTACCAGGAATTGAACTCATGACCTTACACTTGCCAAGCAGGTGCTGTGTTGCTCAGCTATGTCCCTGGCTATTTAATTTATTTATTTATTTTTGAGACAAGGTCTTGCTATGTAGTTCCTGCTGGCGCTGAACTCACCATGTAGCCCTGGTTGGCCTTAAACTTGTGGTGATCTTCTTGCCTCTGCCTCCTGAGTGCTGGGATTACAAGCATGCACCATCTCACCCAACTTGCTGTTTATTTATTTTTAAGAATAGGAGGGATTTGTTGAAGGAGGGAAGCTTCTAGGAGGGAGTCCCAAGAAGATGGCCCACCTGGCTTTTTTGAATTTTATTTTGACACAGGGTCTTGCCAAATAACTAAATGGCTCAGACTGGACTTGAACTTGGTTATAATGGGCTGTTTGAGAAATGTGGCTGAGAGTGCTCAGTGTGGTGGTACATGCCTGTGAATTTGAGGCCAACCTGAGCTACACAGACTATCTTACAAAACCAAAATAACAATTGCAACAGAAATCCAGCAGGTTGCAGCTGGCATGTGCCTAAAGTCATAGTTCAGTGTGAGGCTGAGGCAGAAGGACTGCAAGTTCAACACAAACTTGGGCAATCTGTGACCCGCCTCCAATAATAGAAATGTTGGAGACAGAGTCCAGTGGCCAACACACTAGGATTCACGGTCCAGTACTAAGAAAACTCACACGTTGGGCACGTGTGCTGGGCTACTCCTGTAATCTCGGCACTCACGGTGCCTGCGGCAGGAGGACTGCCACAAGTGGAGGCCAGCAAAACTACATAGTGAGACCATGTCTCAAAAAAACAAAACAAAACCCACACATAGTAAAAGGAGTAGAAATTGTGATACTGTTGTTTGATAGATTCTTGTGAGAGGAGCTTCCTTCCCAGGGCTGCCTCATGGGGCAGTGAGCAGTTCGTCTGAGGAGGTTAGAGAGCCAGATTGTATGTTGAGGCCCACTGGGCCCCGTGGTCACAGTCACACATTTCCTTGCAGGTGACCATCCTGGTGCTGCAGGGCCGCCTGGATGAGGCTCGGCAGATGCTGTCCAGGGAGGCTGATGCCAACCCCGCCTCTGGAGACATGTGCCACATCCTGGGGGATCTGATGAGGACAATGCCCATTCTAAGCGTAGGTGTTGTTGCCTGCTAGGTTACAGAAGATGGGGGCTTCTAAAGCATAAAGGTGTAGGTGCAGCGGTGGCTCTCAGCCAGTCTCTCTCCTTAGCCTGGCAACACACAGACGCTGACGGAGCTGGAGCTGAAGTGGCAGCACTGGCGAGAGGAGTGCGAGCGGCACCTGCAGGACAACACATTCGCAGCCAGCCCTGCCCTGGAGTCTCTATGCAAGGTCTAGGGGGCGCAGTTGGTTGGGCCAGGTAGCTGCATAGGGGCTGTGGATTTCTGCAGGACCACTGCAGGAGTAGTAGCTACACTTGACAGGGCTGCCTGTCGCTGTGCTGTGGGGAGCAGAGAGCTTTCTACTTCTAGTTGAAGCTATGGGCCTCAGCTGAGCCCACAGTGTCGTGGAGAGGGGAAAGCAGCTCAGGTTCTCTCTTCAGATCATGCTGGGGGACGAGGCCACCTTGCTGGAGCAGAAGGAACTGCTGAATAACTGGTACCATTTCCTCGTGACTCGGCTGCTGTACTCTCACCCCACCGTAAAGCCTATTGACCTGCACATCTATGCCCAGGTGAGCAAGATCTGCGGGGAAGGGGGCTCCAGGGTCCCCTCTTGGCTCCATGCTGGGTTCTTCTTTGTGCAAACTCTTTGGATCGAACACCTTCCCTACCCCTGGAACAGTAAGACTTTCCTTCAGCCCTATCTGAAGGGGTTCTCTGGGCACAGCCCTGCTGCCTGAGCCTCTCATTTAATCCTGGGGACTGAGTGGTTCATTACCTTTCCACAGTCCAGCCTGGACATGTTTCTGGGCGGTGAGAGCAGCCCAGAACCCCTGGACAACATCTTGATGGCAGCCTTTGAGTTTGACATCCACCAGGTGATCAAGGAGTGCAGGTAGGACTGAGCCCTTGCTTGCGACCACATTCACGGTTTTAGGTACATGGTTCCATGGCAGTAAGTCCAGTGACAGTGTTGGACAGCCCTCACTGCGTCCATATCTGAAATGTGTTCCGCATCCTTCCTGCAGATTTGCTTTAGTCCTTTGGTGCTATACCTGAATGCCTGAGCCTGGGTCGTGTATCCAGGACACAGAACTTATTATGTAACAGTCCTAGGAAACCTGTGATGAAAGCTCTGCCAGATTTGGTGTCTAGTGAGGGCTGCTCTCTGCTGCCACAATAGCACCGTTAGTGGGGCGTCCTCCAGAGGGGAGGAACATTGTCCTTACATGGGGGGAGGTGAGAGGGAACAAACTCCATCTCCTGATTTAACTCACATAGGTGTGCTTGTGGATGAGTCAGCCTGAAGTTCCACCTCTGTACTTTCTGTGCTGCCAAAGCCAGCACCAAGGCCCACCTATAATACTGGCATTTGGAGGAGACACACATCCTCTCTCCCTTCTCCCTTCCCTGGCACATTTAGGTAGATAGTGGCTGCTCCCTGGGTACATGCAGGGACTTGCTGGATGCTTGAGGGCTACTATAACTTTTCATTTTAGGGAATATCTGTGTAAAACAACATGACAAGTTGTGGGCATGGTGGTGCCTGCCTGTAATCCCAGCACATGGCAGGCTGAGGCAGGAGGATCACTGTGAGTTCAAGGCCAGCCTGGGCTACATAGTGAGATCCTGTCTCAAAAAATAAGTGTTGCAGCAAATGTCTTAGATGTTTAGGATACAGGAAAAGCACCTGCTGCATGCAGCCACCTTACAGGAGAGCACTTTCTGACAGTCTTAATTCCAGTGAAGGAGTGGCTACCAGCTTTGGGCTTTGGCTGCAAAAAGCGTGAGCTCTCACTGTGTTGATCCTCTAGCAATGCAGCAAAGGCAGTGTCACATCAAAGTCTCCATGTATAGTCAGAAAGCAGCTCCCCTCCCTTCTTACAGAACCCAGGTGGCACCCTGAGGCCTGTTTGGAAGGAAGTCAGGAGTGGTGGTCTTGCTGTGTGCCAAGTTCGCTGACCTGGACTCATTCTGTTTTAATGGATCTGGGCAATGGGAAAGGTTTCTCTCCTGCTACCTGCTCTTGTTTTGGCCAAAAGAAAGCTTGGGTTTCAATAAAATGATGCTAGGTTTGCAAAAAGGAAGGTTTTCTGTCAGTATTGTTTTCACGGGCCTTTAAAAGCTGGTGCAGGTCTAAGAGGGTCTGAGGGGAGGAGGCAGCAAATGATTTAAAAGGCATACGTCATTGCTTGGCTTCCCTGATGTCTGCCTTAGTTCTAAGCTGTAGCTTCCCAAGTACACTGTCCTAATGGAGTCTGCCAGGGCTTCCTTCATAAGCCAGCTCTGGGCTTTTAGGAACCAGATCTGAGCAAAATGAGCATCTTGGATGTAGAGACTATGTTTCCAGTCACAGGAGACACCGTGTCATATGTACAGTCACACAGAAGCATCAAGCTCACAGCCCTGTTGAGGCATCTGTGCCATCAAGAGCAGGAGGGGATCTGAGGTCTGTTGGCCGCAAATCCCGGTGTTGCCTTTTCTTGACCTGGAACCTGTCTCCTGTCCATTCTGAAAGAGGAGGAAGTGGCATGGAGTCTTAGGACTTCTTCATGGGAGTGGGAACAGGCTATAGTGACTCCCAAAGCTACACTCCATGCTTGGCAACTGCTGGGTCCCTTTGCAGGGACACCAAAAGCTGTGGCAGTCTTCCTCACTTCTCTTTCTTCCTCTCTTTTCTCTCCCTCCCTGCTTCCCTTCCTTTCTCTTTTGCTATACTGGGGATTGAACCCAAGAGCTTTTTTAAAATTTTGAGACAGGACCTTGGAAAATTGCCCAGGGTAGCCTCAAATTAGTGATCTTCCTGTTACAGCTTCCTAGAGTGCTGGGATTACAGGCTTGTGCCTCCATGTACCATGCTCAGGTCAGACAAAATGTTTTGGAGACCAAAGATGTAGCTTCATGGATGTTAGAGGTCCTGAGTTCAATATCCAGCAGCAGCAACTATTTTTTTTTTTTTTTGCATTCCAGGGTATTTTACCAGGGTTCTCACATTGAGCTATGTCCCCGGCTCTTTTTGAGATAGGGTCTTGCTGTTAACTTAAATTGCCCAGGGTGGGCTCGACCTTGAGACCCTCTTGGGTGCTAGTGGAGGGTTTTAGTTTGAAGCAGGGTCCAGCTAAGGTGTCCAGGCTGAAGCTGGCTCTTTCAAGATGCTCCTTTCTCTGCCTCCTGAGTAGAGAGGGTAGGTGTGTCCCACCAGGCCTAGCTGGAGGTCATTCAAGATTTTGAGTTACCTCGGTGTGTTGAGTACAGACTACACCAGTTTACATGAACACCAAGAGTGGGTGAGGGTTCCCTTTTCTCCACACTTTGTTGGCTACTGTTTCTTACCATAGCCATCTTAACCAGTGGGAGGTGACATCCTGCCTGTCCTTCTAAAACAAAAGGGGGGGGGTGAGGTGGTCTCTTCCCTGTTCCCTCCTCATACTGTGGTGTCTGGTTCCACAGCATCGCCCTGAGCAATTGGTGGTTTGTGGCTCACCTGACAGACCTGCTAGATCACTGCAGGCTCCTCCAGTCCCACAACCTTTAGTAAGTCTGCTGGACACTGACTCCTGGGGTGAGCTGTGCCGAATGCCAGGGAGGGGAGTGTGGTGGGGCCAGAGAAAGGGGCCTGAATGGAGCGGGCCTAGATTCTCCGTCTCCTGTTATGTTTTACTCTAGTTTTGGTTCCAATATGAGAGAGTTCCTCCTGCTGGAATATGCCTCAGGGCTGTTTGCTCATCACAGGTAGGAAGAGTTGAGGGCACGGGGTACCTTGGGGTGGCCTGTCTGGTTCCAAGGCCTGCTGAGGGCATGAGGGAAGAGAAGGCTTTGGTGCCCAATCCTCAGGGCCACAGGGAAGCACCACCTCACCCAGCCCTCACAGCTGCCTTCCGGGACCTTTGCAGCCTGTGGCAGCTGGGGGTGGATTACTTTGACCACTGCCCTGAGCTGGGCCGTGTTTCCTTGGAGCTGCACATTGAGCGGATCCCTCTCATCACTGAGCAGAAAGCCCTCAAGGTGCTTCGGATTTGTGAGCAGCGGCAGATGACGGAACAAGGTGGGCTGGTGCCCTTGCTCCCCACAGGCAGACATCGGGACACTGAAGCCAGGCTCCACCACACTGCAGAAGGGTTACGTTACGGGACTTCCTAGAGAGCAACACGTGTTAAGAGCGTCCCTTGGGGTCTTGAGGAACACCGAGTTTTTTCCTTTTAGAGGAGTCCCTGGCCCACCTGTTGTCACATTTGCTCTATAAGCCCAGGCTGGAGTCACCACTGAGGCTTCCCTCCAGGCAAAGTCTGGGCTGGTGGGGAAGGGGTGCAGGAGCACAGGGAGGGGGCAATGTATACAACTCTGCCCCACGATGACCACCTGTGTCACTGCTTCTACGGAAGGCACTTGTACATTTGGCCATATTAGAAAACTCAGTTTGAGTGGCACACACCTGTAATCTGAGCACTTGAGAGGCTGAGGCAGAAACATTGCCACAAGTTTAAGGCCAGCCTGAATTACAGAGCGAGACCTATCTCAAGAAAAAGAAAACAAAACACAGACATGAAAGAAGATAGGCTTTGCAAGTAATGGAAAATGGGGAGGGTCAGTATGTGGGGAAGAGTAGGCAGGTCACTGTACTGTTAGCAAACCCAGAAGGCCCCAGTGCTACTGGCCTACAGGTGCTTGGAGCTCAGGAGCACCTCTGGGTTGCATCAAGGCTGTGGGAAAGCCATGCCTGTCACCACAGTGCACCTGAAGGGAGTGAGTGGCTGAAAGGTTTTGCCTTTCATGTCTCCTCCCTGGGCAGTCCGCAGCATCTGTAAGGTCCTGGCCATGAAGGCCCTCCGTGACAGTCGTCTGGGCTCTGCCCTCTCTTGGAGCATTCGTGCCAAAGATGCTGCCTTTGCCACACTGGTTTCAGACAGGTGAGCGCAGCAGGTGATGGCTCTGGGAGTGGCTGGGGGAGGCTGGAGTTCAGTGAGGCGGCCTGGGACTGCTTTCTGATCTCTAGGCTGGGCCCTGCAGGTTCCTCAGGGATTACTGTGAGCACGGCTGCTTTTCTGACTTGGATCTCATTGACAACCTGGGGCCAGCCATGATGCTTAGCGATCGGTTGACATTCCTAGGTGAGTCCTTTGTGGAACTGTGGACCACTGTAGAGATTGGAAGACTTGTAGAACGAGTGCATTTCTTCCCTGGTTAGCCCAAATGGCAAGCCACATAGGAATCCTGTGCCAGACTGCAGGGTATTTGGAGATAGGATCTTGGTCTGTAATTTAGGCTGGCCTTGAACTCATGGACAATCCTTATGTCTCAACCCAGTATTCGGTAACATTTTTATTTTCCAGTAATTTCAAGCTTGGATAAAACTTAGAAAGTAGCACCAAGGTATAAGGACCTCCTATATACACTATTCATAGATTACTAGTCATTTATATTTTTCCTCACTTGTTTTATCCTGTTGATCCATCAGTTTTTTGGAGAATAGTTGTATACTGTGCCTTTTTCTTTATAAAGGCTTCAGTCTGCAGTTCCATCTGTAAATAACAGCTACCAAAAGCCAGAGATCCATTGCTGGCTGAGAATGGTGATGCACACCTGTAATCCCAGCATCCAGAGGCTGAGGCAGAAGGGTCAATGAGTTTGAGGCCAGCCTGAGTGAGCAAGACACTGTCTCAAAACAAAACAACACCCTCACTGCTACAAAACTGTCATCCCCAGTATCAGCTGTCTTGGTAATGTACTTAACTATGTCCAGGGTAACAAATTTAGCTGACACCTCTTTAGTATTTCTATGTTGCATGGTTTTTTTCTTTCCTTTTGATGCTAGGATCGAGCCTAGGGTGTCACACAAAACACTATCACTGAGGTAACCCGTTTCTTTGTATGCTCTAGTTGGTGAACTGAGGCCCTTGACACTGAGTTACATTCTCAGCCCTTTATTAAGTTTCTAAGTAGCCCAAGGAAGGCTCAAACTGCATCCTCCTGCCTCAGCCTCCCAGAATGATGGGATTACTGGCATATGTGCCATCTTGGATTTCCAGCCCTTGTATTTTTTTTTGACGCTGGGTCTTGCTACATTGCCCAGGTTGAGTTGGAACTCGGGTTCCTCTTGCCTTACTGTCCCAGAGTGCTGGTTTAGACATGTGCTACATGTTTGTGCCCTGCTCTTTGGCGGGGCTGGTGTGACTTTTGTGGGAGTCATCAGGGAGCACATTTAGGGGATGCCAGGTGAGGCAGTGAGCCTTCCCCCCTCCCAGGGAAGTACCGCGAGTTCCACCGACTGTACGGGGAGAGGTGCTTCAGCGGGGCCTCAGCTCTCCTCCTGTCCCTGATGACATCTCGGATTGCCCCGCGCTCTTTCTGGATGACTCTGCTCACAGATGCCCTCCCTCTTCTGGAACAGAAACAGGTAAGGCTCGAGTTCACAGGGATATTCTTGGCTCCCTTTTGTAGCTCTGGGACCTTGGGCTCTGCCTAGTGTGAACACACATGCACTATTTTTCACAATTCTGTATAAGGGCTCATTGTCTTCCCTGTACCTGTGCTCCAAGTCCAGTTTTACAGTAGAGACACTGAAATGCCACTGCTGTCCAGTGCCTGCAGTCTACGGTCTCCCCTGAAAGCTGGGCATGAGTAGGCAGCTGCTACCTCCTCAGGGCTCACAGGTTGAAGGACCCCTTCTGATCCTGGGCCCAAGTCGGTACCAGCACAGACCTTGGCTGGAGAGCAGCTAAGCCAAGCACCCCTCCCCTGCAGGTGATCTTTTCAGCGGAACAGACATATGCGCTAATGCGATGCTTAGAAGATTTGACCTCAAGGAAGCTGGAATGCGAAGAGCCAGATGCCCAGAAACCCCAGGTCATTTTTGCTTTCTGACCGATGGTTGCATGTTGAAGGTGGGAAAAGGTTCCCCATCTTGAGCTTTGTACCCTCTATCTAAACTCCCATAACATTCCATGTCGTAGGAACTCAGGTCTCTTATTTATTGCTTTCCTATAATTATGTCATGCCAGATTTTAGAAGGAAGTGGATGATGGTACCTTTCTGGTCTCTAGTTTTTTTTTCTGTGGATGGGGTGCAGCGGCCCTTTGCACAGGCTTACCCTGAGGATGGATTGTCACTCTGCCTGCTGCTACTCAGGCCAATTCTCTGCTTTTTAGGATGATGACATAGAGACCACCAAGTTGGAGATGCTGAGACTTGCTCTTGCCAGGAATCTTGCTCGGGCAATTATAAAAGAAGGCTCACTGGAAGGTTCCTGAAGTCGGCTAAGAGCTCCTGCAGTGTGGTTAACTTTGTATGGCAATGTAAAATAGCTTTTTAAAATAAATGTTCTCTGGCAAATAAAACCCTGCCAAGGAGTTTTATTCATGTCTACTCTGAACCTAAGCAAAAATAAAGGAAATGTTTTATGTTTTGAGATGGGTCCTCTATTGTTCAAGATGGCCCCACATCTCTTAGGTTCAAAGGATTCTCCTCCATCAAGAGGCTCAGTAGTTGCACCTGACTTACACTTTCTTTAATTAAGCAACTATCTTCCATGGTGTCCTAAGAGAACACACCCCAGGGTAGGAATAGAGAATGTAGAGTCCTGCTTGCAACTGGAAATTTGATGCTCCTTGATGGTTACTTACATTCAAGAGCCTGTAACAATATTTTTGGCTTTTTGAGAAGGGTCCTGCTATGCAGTTCAGGCTGGCCTCAAACTTGTAACAATTCTCCTGCCTCAGCTGCGATTTCAGGCATGCACCTCCACCTGGAACTCACAGATGGCCCCTCCCCCTTGAGGAAAACGGTGTATATTACAAGGATTCCAGCTAAGGTAAAAATAGCTTTATTAACATGCAGCAAAACAAGGGCAGCAGAGTGGGTACATCCAATACAGCTGTTTGCCACAAAGCAGCTACCTCAATGGTATGAGAACACTGACAACTAAGTTTAATGTCTAATGCTTATCTTTCACACAGTACTCAGACATTGCCAGGGCTGCAGCACCTGGTCTCTGGAAAGCTCTTGAGTTTCTTTCCTAGGTAATAAAAACTGTTCACTTTGACCTGTCTTGATGAAGCAGTGAAACCTGCTCACTAAAGGCAGTGAGGAGAGAGGTTAAGACAACCTCTGGATACAGAGAAGGGAAACCTGGCAAGGGCAGGAGGGCCAGGCTGTGGCTCGTCACCCTCCTTTTCCCGAGGTGCTGGCTGAGCCTAAGCTGTCTGCCCAGCCCCAGCTTCTGTGGCAGCTGGTAGTTCTGTGTCCTGTTGTCTTAGGGCTCTAAGTGTGGCATGCCCAGAGGCAGCTGGGACAAATTCTGCTAAGAGCAACAGGGTCTGGTGACTTGGTTCAAGTGTGGCCCCTGTCACCTTACCAACTCTAGGCTAACACCTTGCTGACAGTGCCCCACTACAGCTGCAGAGACAGTATTTCCATGTAGCATAAAAGGACAGAATTCCAGTACAATGTGCTTGACCCTGAGGCCCCCCATGGTCCTGACCAGAAGTGCCATGCCACACACATCTGGCAGGAATGGAGGCCAGAGCAGGGGGATGCAGATTGGTGGGGCTTGTCCTTCCTCTCAGAGATGCTAGGGGAAGGAGAGCAGTGGATTTCATGCCGAGCAGGAGGTAGGTAGTGAGTAGGATGGCTGTCTGTACGTGGGAGGTCCAATTTCCCAAATAGCTCCCAGCCCTTGCTTCCGAAGGGCAGAAACTGCTCCTCTCCATCTCCCTTTCCTAGCCCTACTTGCTGCTGCCATGAAGCCAGGTTGTTTCCTACAGGTTGAGTCCCATGTCCTGCTGAGATTCCACAAGATACAGCTCCTTACTGCTGATAGGGACAAATGCAGAACTCATCTGGTGGCCATTCCAGGATGCTGCTGCCTATGAAAGGCAGACAGGTTCCGGGGGACTTCAGGAGCCCTCACTTTGGGCCCCTGGCTTTACCTGTCTTTGAAGAGGTGGCACCAGAGTCTGCCAGCAAGGGAAGCACAGGCTGGCAATAGGGGCTACAGCCTCAAACCATACTTCTGTGGGGTGTGAGGACCCGGTTCTTGCAGGGATCCAAGACCTCCCTCTCTTTAGAGTTCTCACACCAAGGATACAGATACAGGAAGAAACTATTCCAGGCCTGGGGCCTACTGTCCCATTACAGCAGCGCAGACAGGGGCTGTTTCCCACCGCTGACAGTATATGGCCACTTCAAGTCACATAGGTAGATAAAAAGTCCTTCTAGGCACTCCCCAGGGAGAGATTATCACAGCAGCAGGACAACTCCCAGCAGAGGTGTCCAGGGCCCCAGGCCACATCTGCGTTACGAGTGCTGCTGTCAGGGCCTCAGTGAGTGGACTGGAGCCCTGTCCATTTGGGGCTGCCTGCCTGGCTTAAGAGTGGAGATCACTGCATCTTTCTGGGTCATAGGTTCCCCCAGTGCTCCACAGGAGGAAACTGCTCCACCTCGCCTACTTCTGTGCTCAGCTGCTCCCCAAGAGCAAAGGTCAGCTTATACCGGAGTCGCACCTTCTCCTGTGGCAGAAGGCAGCAGGTGAGCAAGGTCCAATCCATGCATCCACTTCCCTGCAGTTTTTCTGGCCCTGTGCATCCCTGTTCCCATCACATCCACCCACACTTGGGCACCTAATAATTTGGGGCAGCAAAGGAGAGGTCATGCTGCAGCTGCAGGCTGGAGAGGTCACCTTGAAGCTTAGGTCAGGCATCCTCATCCGAGGCAGCCAGGACCTGGGATCTCCTGCTTACCTTCATTGGGTTGGCCAACAGCATGACCTGGGTGATGGCTGCCGGTGGCTGGATGGGACTGAATGGAGAGAGCTCTGTCCCAGAGGGTGGCTGCAGCTTTACTTTCATTGACTAAAGATAAAGAAAACGCACCTTTGAAGAGAACTGGCCTGTGTCCCGAATAGGAAATGGGTCTGGTGGTCACAGTGGATCTACACAATCTACACATAATGCCATCTGCTGGCCACTGAAAGGCCCACCAACATAAAGGCAGTTTTGGGTTTCTGGTGCCCAGGAAGCTGGCAGTACCTTGGGCACTGCAGCCTGCAGCACAATGCTCTTGATTGGCAAGGGAGCTGTGTTCAGCATGGACACCACCACCACCAGCACATCAGGCCGTCCTGGGGGACACTCCTTGGCAAAGTGGAAGAGGATGCGGAAGCCATGTTTATCATAGGCTGTCACAGGAAGGGCACTGCCTGCAAGGAGGAGCACGAATGTGTTGAGAACACAGCCGACAGCCCTGGCTACGTGCACTTAGCAAGGGGACAGCATGGTTATAATTGCAGTGTTCTTAATGAAGTCAGAGAAAGGCCCTCTGATGGGGTCTGAAGCCACACTCATCTACAAGCACAGGATAAGCCAGCAGGGAGTGGACACCTGAGGGACTTCTGCAAGAGCACCTGTCCCCACCCACCGCATACCCTATGGTTCCCTCCCACCTCCAGCACCTACTAGGCTTGATGGATTCCAGGGGCACATGGACACTGGCCAGGGAGAGCTCAGGCCCCTTCATGGGACTGCCGTGGGACTGGAAGGCCGGCGACTGGAACAGAGGGCTATTGGGTCCAGTGGAGAATAGCAGAAGAGGCCTGGCTGGCATGGAGGTGGGGAGCAGGGGCAAGGTGGTAGCCCCAGGGGAAAAACAAGAGGAGACAGGTTTCACACAGGCTGAGGTCCTAGGCGGCAGGAAGGACAGAGGAGCAGGTCAACACAGGCCATAGCTGCTGACCCAACCTCTCACCAAGGTGCCCAGGCCAGAGATGGCTCCTAGCTCCCCCACATCCCCAGCTTCCAGCCTAAGTCTCAAAGATACAACCCACCCCCTTCCTCCACTCATTACACTTTGGCCTTTTCAAGAAGCTGATCAAGGGCATCCAGGTGGTTCAGCGTGCTGTCACCCAATGCTGAGTCGTGGAACTCAGGGGCTGCATGCTCAGCCTTTGGGGCCAAAGCTGGGGCAAGTCCAGAGGTGAACGTGAAGGAGACAGCGCTAGGGCCAGGTGCGCTGGCTGGGACCACAGGGGCTGGGAAGCAAGATGGCAGTGGTACTTGGGACATGCTTGATGGGGGAGCTGAAGGCGGGAGCAGGGACCCCTCCGAGGAACAGGCAGCAGGCCCCAGTCTGGGGCTGAAGAAGTCCATGCTGGACTGTTCACCCTGCAACAGAAAAAGTGGTGAGTGGAGGGCTGATGGCAACGGCCCACCACACCACGACTGTCTTTCCCTAGGGGTACTGGAGGGGACCTGTCACAACCTGGGGACTAGCTGCCTCCCAAGGCAGGGCCAAAGAAAAGCCCGTGGGGGTGGTATGCTTCTAGCTGCAGTGGACAGTGCTTTGGAGGGGAAAAGCAGCCAGGCAGCAATCAGGAAAGAGAAGACGTTGACGAGTGAGGTTCTGGGCTGACCCTTCACCTTCACACCAACTCAAGACTGTCCATACCTGGAACAGCCACTGGCTACTTCCAGCTGACTCTCTGGGAAGAGCAGTAGGAGTTGGGTCAGAGAGTCCTGAGAATATGGAAGAAAATTCAGTGAGAGGGGGCTCAGCCCCAGCACACCAGAGGAAGGACACAAGACGGTACAGAGCAGGTGTCTTCCTGGAAGCTGCTTGGGGGGAGGGGGGATTTCCCCTTTCAAACTTCCAGGTGAGGATGAAACGTATGCCAGGGAATGCGAGCAGCAGAGCAAGACCCAAGGGCTGCCATACCCACCCCTGGGAACCCCCTGGGAAGATGACTCTGGCGGCTCTAGGGACATAAATGTGACTGGTAAGCACACTAGACACGACCCCTGACTTCCTGACTCCACAGTCGTTCGTCCTGAGGCAGCCAGGAGAAGCCCCTGCGGCACATACCTAAGCAGAGCAGCTCCTCGTCCAGCAGAGAGAGGGTGTTGCTTGTGCTGCTGAACACAGGAGGAGCCTCGGCCTGGCTGGACAAGTGGCTGCGTGGAGGCCCTGAGGTCTGGGGAGGTGGAGGGATGATAGGGATGTCCAAGCAGGGTGGGGTGGGCACTGGGGCTAACAATGGGGGTGAACTGTTGGGTGTGTCCAACTCAGCAAGGTCGATGAGAGTGCCTTGATTACGGCAGTAGCTGTTTCCTGGATGGGTCACAAAGAGGAACAAGAATAATTAGGACATTCCAGTGGCTGCAGCAGGAGACTGGACCCTGGGCACAGCAGCCAGGGCTCTAGCCTCTGGTTTCATCTGATGGCACTTTTAGAGTACACTAGACAGCAGGCTAGGGAAGGCAGGTGGAGAAACCATTATCTGTATTTCTTGGCCTGAGGAAGCTGGAGGACTCCTCGGAGCGGGTTAAGAGTCCTTTGGGCTACCATATGGTTGACCTGTACGCAGTGGTGGTTTGGAGGGTCCCAGCACATTTTACCTTCGGAGTCAGGCATGGCTGAGGTGGTTTCCTCACCATTGATGACCTGCCCATCAATAACTGTTTTATAAGAGTTGATGACCCGGGAAAGGTTGTCACTGGCTTGCAGGATATCCCCTATAGCAGAAGAGAGAGAGCCCTCATTCCTGACTGTGACAACACAATTTTGAATTCGTGATTCATCCACACCAATCACTCTTTCCTTTTCACTCACCCAAACTATTGTCATTGTCCTCTGTCTCGCTGGCTAGTTTAAATAAAGTCCGTCTCTTGTTCTCACACCGATCAAACAATTCCTGAGGGAGACCCAGACGTGAAAATCACAAGAGGCCCTCACATCCCGACTCAACAGTGATGCTCAGAGGGTGCAGGGCTCTGCTAAGGACCATTGACAGTCACTGGCAGAGCTGGGGCCAGAGAGCAGAGCTTCCTGTTGGCTTCCCCCCCGACCTCAACAACAAGCTGTCTCTCGACAATACGTCACTTTACTTAGAGGGCAGAGAGGAAGAAAGCCCCTTCCTGCCTCCCAGGCGGACATGTGCCTCACAACTCAAGATATCTACTCAGCCACAGGCTGGGCCTCACAACACTAACATCATGGCGCCAGGGAAGTCTTTCTGTCCAACTGTCCCCAAGCAGTAAAGGCAGAAAGCTGAGGTGAGCACGAAGGTGCTGTGCATAGATGAACAGGCTCGTAAACAGCCAGTGAGCCAGTGCCTGTCCCGTCAGAGCAGGCAGCACTCCGGGCTACTCCTGGCAGACCGCACCTACCTTCATGAGCTCCTTGTCTGCCTCTGACGAGTGCTCTTGGCTGTAGTGTAACAGCATCTCATGGAGCAGCTTCACATTGTTGTTGACCTCCTCCAGGGTGTGTACGCGCTTCGTCACCTTCTGGATGCGTGCCTCATCCTGTCTCAGCCAAAGGATCCAGGATAGCGAGCTCACCTAGCCACTTCCCACACCAGCGTGGGTCGGGGGAGGCCGGGTGCCCAGAGCAAGAGCAGAGGCCAAGCCCAGAACTCCGCTCAGTGCATGCTTTCTGGGACCACATGCCTCGGACCCAACCCACAGTTCTTTCTGTAAACTGACATCCCCACTCTTCTTCCCTCTTCCACTCACTTCAGGGGAGGCTGTGGCAAGAGAACAAGATGGGCTTAACACCCCAGCACCCCAGGCCCAGACTCACTTCCTTCACCATAGACTTGATAAGCTTGTTGGCCTCTTGCAGGTCATCTGGGTTTTTGCTCTTCAACAGTTTGGATAACAGCTGGAAGAGAAGGATACTAAGGACGAAGGAAAGGATAGTACCACCCCTACCCTACCTGGAGGCCACAAAACAACTTGGGCTTTCTACAGTGTCAAAAAGTAAACCATTTCCTCCTGTTGCCATGCCCATTCAGTCCAGGCCCAGGATGTACTTTACCCTGGACTTTTCCTCATCGTCAAAAACAGGGTTTTTGGGACGAGCTGGTGGAGAGGGGATCAGTGTCCTGTCCACAGGGGTTGGTGGGTCAGATTGCACTATGCCTGAAAAGGGACAGAAGTGGCAAAGCATGCACTCAGGCTAAGGTCACCTTGTTCCCCCTCCTCACACCAAGGTAGGGGAGCAAGACCTGGTAGGGGAGCAGGAGACAGGGCAGGCTGCTCACACCTCATCTCACCAAAGTCCAGCTGAGCCCTGCCCTGGCAACAAATACCACACTTCAGGAGGAGGCAGGGGGGAAGTCTGGGGCTCCCCCGAACCACCCCTTTCCTGCTGGCCTTGCCAGCAAGAACCCTTGAAGGGCTCCCCCGAGCCTGCACTTACCCTGTCTCTTCAACATGTGGTAAGCATCTTTGATTTTTGCTTCTTCTGGCAAGGCCACTGTCCAACTGTAAAGCAGCGCAATGACCTTGGTCTTCACTTTCTCAGACACCCTGTCCCCCAGGTACTAAGAGGCAAAAGGAAACAGGTAGGCTAGTAACTGCAGCTGAGAGCGACGAACGGGTTGCTTATTGCCATCCCAGGCCCACTCAAGCCAGCAGGGTTTAGCACAGGTGTGGTCGGCAGGACCTCACACAGCCACATCACCTTCTTCTGGACAGTGTGGCTGGGAAGCGGCCAGAGCTCATTACTGCACTTCCGCACACAAGTGCCCTGAATCTCACTGAGTTTATCCTGAAGGACTCTGTGAGAATGCCATGAGTGAGCTTTCAGTGTGCACCCAGAGGCATGGGACACAACCTGAGTGAGCAACTAGAGCGGCTGCTTCCTCAGACCCATGGATGGAGCTGAACACCCACATCTGCTGTGTGCTAGGAGTGCAGAATCCCAGCTGCCCGGGATCTCTGCTGGGTATGCACACAGCTGCTGCCACTAGACCCACTCAGTCATCCCAGTATGTCCAGGACCCAGCTCTCTAGGACATAAGGGTGGAATGCCATGGAAACGCTGGTGAGCACAGCATCAATAAAATGGGATACAAGAAAAGTCCCTGGAAGGGGAAAATGGACACCGACTGACCTTTGGAGAGACGACTTTGATTAGCTCATTCAGAAACCGAAACTTGCCCACTTCATTATGAAATCGCCTCCCACAGTTCTTCATGCCTGCCTCCAGGACCTGCGGCCACACAGAGAAGAGCTCAGTGTGCAGCTGACACCAGCGAGAAACCAGGAATCCTCATAGGAAAGGGCACTCTACCAGAAGGACAGCACTCTGCCCCATAAAGGGCACAGCTAAGTCACAGGGACACTCACCAGCCACACCTTAGATGGCACAACTCTGCTGCAGACACTACCCTGAGATCCAAATGCCAAGGCCTGAAAGGTGCCTTCCTTAAAGACACACATGGAATAGTGAGGTCCAGGGACATAAAATTTCTCTGACTCGGGGTCCAAAATCCTTTCCATGGGCTAAGCAAATTTTGGGGATGGCAGATAATCTAAATTGTGCTATCTCTGATTTAAACCAGACATCTTCCCTTCCCTGCCTCTGAGGTTTCCGTGTTCTGTGCTGCCTCGGACCTGGGCCTGCCCAATCAAGAGCCTTCTGCCAGTCTTTTGGAGAGCCACCGGGCCCTGGAGGGTGTGTGAGGAAAGTCCACTATTTTGTCTCTGAGGGGAAAACCCTACCGTCAGGGCCTGTACCGCCTCCCATTCCTGTGGAGACTGAATCTTGTGGGCCAGCAGGCGGACAGCAATCTGGGGCCTAAGGGATAGGAAACCATGGTTAGCACACTGATGTGGGGCCATCCAGCCAGCGTGCCTGCTCCTACCAGCACTGAGACTTACCCTTCAAGTTCTTTGTTGATCTGATCACAAAAACCAATTATATATTCCCAGTCTTCCTGGCGATTGGAAGGATTGGTGGCTTTATCTTGGGACAGAACAAAGAGGACGGTTGTTATGAAGAGCAACAAAATGTTTTCTTCAGAATTTTTAGGCACAAAATGTTTGCTCCTGAATTTCTTGTTTTGTAGAGAAGTCTCAATAGTTTAATCAGAGTTGTGTGTGGTGGCACACACCTGTAGTCTCAGCACTCCGGAGGCTGAGGCAGGAGAACCGTCAAGAGCTCCAGGCCAGCCTGGACTACACGGCAAAATACTATCTCAAAAAGCCAAAAACAAGGACTGGGGATTTAGCTCAGCAGCACAAGTGCCTGCCTGGTAAGCACAAGGTTGTGAGTTTAATCCCTGGTATTAAAAAAAAAAAAAAGCCAGAAACAAAAGTTTAGTCAGTCAGCAAATGTAAACCCTGCTTTCTGCCATTTTTGAAGTCACAAATGAATCCTGTTCTCAAAATAAAGACATATATTACTATACTAAAATAGTCAGAAATAAATGCCTTTACAAGTTAGGCATGTATAATAATTATAGATAACAACATAAAAATGAGTTTAAGTGTTCAGGAAGAACACAGAAAATGAGTTTTTGCCCCTGAACTCAAGGCCTTCACAATGAATCACATACACACCTTTTTTTTCAAGGCAAGGTCTTGCATGTTGTCTAGCAACTGCCTGCCTCAGTTTCCCAGAGGGCTGGGATTATAGGCAACTGTCACTATGGAAAATGAGTATTTTCTATACATTTTTCAAGATCTGCCAAGACTTCATCTTCTTTAATACTCTGCACATGTCTGAAATTCACACAATAACACTCATAACTGTCAAGCCTACAGCCCTCACTGATGCACCAGGCACCCTGCAGTCTAGTTCCCAGGACCTCACAAATAGCATCAAGGCTTGAAAGCTCAGCACTTTTGGGCTTTAATGCTTTTTCACAACCAAGTACAAAGACAAAAACTACAGAGGTCTTGGAGAGACCCTGAGGGTTTCAATCCGGTGGCCAAGCAGTTCAGTCAATACCTAGTTCCTGCCTCCTCCCTGTTACCCCCAGGATGGCCCAGCTGAGGGAGGTTAAATGGGCTGGCATCCCTGACTCACCCCTAGAGTCTGCCTCTTCAAGGAAGCCCTCACACTGTTTGCTCAATTTAGGGTTTAGGGTCAGAAGACAAATTGAAGAAACACACATCCTCTTAACACATCCTGGCTCCTCTGAGGAAGGAGAGCCCTTCAGACAGGGGGTGCTGTTAGAAGTTCTCAACCCTTGTGATGGTAGGTGCGTTCTTTCTTCTGTGTGTGCATGGTACAGGCAAGGGACTGAACCTTGCACATACTAGACAGAGATCTAGCACTAAGTTGTATCTCCAGCCTCCCCCTTGTTTGATTTTTTTATTCCCCCTCTCTTTTTTTGAGACAAGGTCTTGGTGAATAGTTCAGGCTGGCCTCAAACGCATGGAAATCTTTCTGCCTCATCCTCCTGAGTGCTGGTGTTGCAGGCAGCTGAGTTAGTTAGAAATATTACAGGCAGTGAGACAGGGCTGGGTACTCAAAGGAGCCAGTGCAGAAGCCTTGCTACTGTGGGGAGTTACCACCTGCTGTAAGCCAAGCCTCAAGACAAAAGACTAAACAAATGCATCCACATCCTAAGGACTGAAACTCTAAATAGTTCCCTATCACCCTGAGGAAGCCAGGAGTCACCATTCCAACCCCCTAGGGAAGTCAGGGCTCTCTAGGACTCTACATGACTTGTTTCCCCATTTGTCCCCAATTTAATCAACTTTACCTGAACTACTAATGTTATTGGTTAACTATAGTTATGTCCCACCTTATGCCCAACTGCCTTATGAGTTCCTAGTGTTCCCCACACTGAACACATCTTACCCCATGATTTTGTTCTACAAAAGTCCCTGGAAAAGACAAAGAGTCCTTGGCAATCCACACGGGATCCCTTCTGTCTCTCTCAGAAGCTTTCTTTCTCTCAATAAATATATTCTACTCTTAACCTCTGTTGTTCCTAAAATTCATTCTTTGATTTTAGAGAACATGAACTCACGGACATAGTACATCGGGAGCTTCATTCCCCTATATCATTGGGACTACAGCTGTCCACCACCACAACCAGCCCTGAGCCTTCTTTTTATTTTTTATTTTGAAATTATACTAGTAAATTGGCCAGATTGGGCTCAAATTGAGCTCACTTTGTGGCGTAGGCTGGTCTGGAACTTGCAATGATCCTCCTGCTCAATCTCCTACAGTGCTGGGATTACAAGAGTGTACCAACATGCTTGGCTCTTTATTTTTTTTTATTTTTTATTTTTTTGGTTTTTATGAGACAGGGTCTTACTTTATAGTGCAGGCTGCTCTTAAACTTCCTTATGTACCCCAGCTAGCCTCAAACTCATGGCGAGCCTCCTGACTCAGCCTGAGTGCTGGGATTACAGGTGTGTACCATCACACCGAGTCGGGTATTTTAATTTTAAAAATCAGGTGAGTCACTATAGTGGCACATGCCTGTAATACCAGCTAACAGGAAGGTGAGGCAGGAGGACCGCAAGTTTAAGGTCAGCCTGGGACATTTAGCAAGACCCTGTTTCAAAAAGGGCTGGAGGTATAGTTCAGTGGCAGAGTGCTTGCCTAACATGTGTGAGGCCAAGGTACTGCAGGCGCTTCAATAACTCTGATTAAAGGCTTCCCGACGTTAGGGCTGGGCCTGCCTGGTGGTGTTTCTGTTCTGGCTGCAAAGGCAAGATTCTGGTGGCTACAGTCTGTATTTAGAGGAAAAGAAGGTGGCTGTTCTTCATCTTGAAAGAAAATCTGCAGATCCTTCAGCGTGTCAAGTTTGAAGGGAAGTTATTAACTCAGTCGATGGCGTCCACTTAGAAACAGAGGCCTGGTAGTCCAGCATGGGGCACAGCCACCCTAGCAAGTCCTTCTCAAAAACCCCAGGCTCTTCCGCCCTTCAACTGAAATGTTGAAATGTCTCAGGTGTTAGCCTGAGTTTCTTACTAATCCTCCCTTTTGAAATGTTTCAGGTGTTCACTGACTCCAAGCAGCAGCAAGATTCAAAAATTAGTCTGAAGAGTCATTCCTACCTCTAATGGCTTTTAGCCATCTGGGAAGTCACAACACTCACGAGAGAGGAAAGATTAGCCCACCTGCTTCGCTAGTTCTCAATGGGAAGAGTGGCTTCCAACAATAGTAAAATGTGGACCCCTGGTCCTATGAACAATGACCTGTTGCCAATTTAATCCCCCCAGGCCATTTCACTTTGTAAAGCACTGCTGCCTCTAAAAATTCTTTTTATCACTTCCTGAGGCCTTCACAGAACTTTCTACCATGAATCTACAGAGCACTCTGCCTACAAATGGCACAAAAGCCCCCGTCCTAACCAAGTTAGGGCTACTTCCTAGCATCTGCTGCTGCTCTCTCAGGCAACCCAGAAGCTACACCTCTCACCCGCAGGAGCCCGGAAAACCACTGGGTAACCCCAGCTCTGCATCTGTCCTCTGCTCCCCCAGCAGAGGTATGTGCCCTTCCACTGACTCCACATTCTCTCACCTGACACAGGCAACACTAGAGCCTTCCCTGCAGATGCTGCCTCCCAAAACCACCTCTCTGAGCTCTGCTCTGACTCATGGTTTCTATTTTCAGATCTCTGCTGAAAGCCTCATTCTCTTCTGTTTCTGAGCCTCCAGATTTCCTGCTCTTATTTTCAGCTTAATGCCATCCCCAGCCTTATTTTCTAGGGACCTCAAAATGTTACATAGGGCAAAGTGTGCACATCTAGAATCCTAGGTACTCAAGAGGCTGAAGAAAGAGGATTGGAAATTTGAGGCTAACCTAGACAACAAAGCCTCCTCCACCCAACACCCCCCCCAAAAAAAGAGCTAGGGACATATCTCTGTGCTGCCTGGCTCCAATCACCAGTATTAAACGAACACACCTACAGGATGGGAACAGCAGCAGCACCAACAATCCCATCTTAACAAGGCTCGGAGGTTCCCGCGGAGCCAGGTTCCATATAGCAATGACTTAGAAATAAGCAAATGCAAGAGCACAGCAGGAAAGGATCAAGGTCAATGTGCAGAGCCAGGTCTCAAACCAATGGAGAAACCTAGTTATCCAGTCTCACTCAGGCACCCACAGAAAATAAAAACAGTTTGCTACAGCTAAAGGGAATACAGAAGAGATATTAGATGCAGATCAGCCCTGGGGAAGTGATGCCCTTCTGATTTAATATGTGAGGAAGAATCAGTGCATAAAACAAGGTGGTATGTAATTATAAATGTCAGTACGCTACAGAAACAAGTCTAAAAACAGATGCACCACTTCTCCCCTGACTTCCCTATTTCTATAAATGGTGCTATTTAAAAGCTCATTTTTCCTCAACTCCCAGGCACTCATGTTTGAAACCTCATTGTTGATTCCTTCCTTCCCTTTTCTTACCCATTCCTGTCAATCCTAAAGTCCTTTCCAGTATCTTTTTTTGGTCTTTTGAGACAAGATCACACTACAGATCAGGCTGGTCTCAAACTAGCTGTGTAGCTCAGGCTGGCCTTTCAATGTCTTTTTAATCTGCTACTCCACTTTTTTTTTTTTATACTTGACTTTAGAACTTGTTCTAACCTATACTGTGTTAGGATGCATGTTATGTAAAGCCCCTGTATCAATCTTTCCAGTATGCTAATTTCATCAGATATAGGAATGGAAACCTGATAACTAGAAATTTAAACTTTCTGGGCTGGAATTCCCACCCTTCCAGAATTTGGTGCTATCTTCCTAACTTTAACCCTTAACACACAAATATGCACGCACGCTCTCCTCTAAGACTGCTGACACACCTGTGTGCCCCAAACAGGCTGGATCCCTCCACATCACCCCCACCTTTCCCATTCTTTAAGACTTAACTTGAATGGTGTCTCCCTGGAGGAGCATTTTCCATTCTCCCTATTTCAAAAACAAAAAACAAATAACAAAACCCTCCAGAAAGAACAAAACGCTCGCTGCATTTTAACACTTAAAGCTCCTGCTTTTTTTTTTTTTATCTTTTCATTTCTTTATTCCCATCAGCATCACCTCCATCAAACTGAAGGCAATGAATCTTTGAACATCCTAATTCTCAACAGTGCCTTCCATAACAGTGTCTCATTAAACCCTGATTGATTGTGGAGTCTGAAGTCATAGAGGTGTAGTTTTCAGGGAAGGACAATCTGAGTTGTTCCCCCATCTCTTTGGTGATAGTAGAACTGAACCCAGGGCCTCTGTCATGATATCAATGTTGTATTGTTGAGTTACATCCCGAGCAAGCCCCCCCACGCCTTTTGCAGCAGTAGGTTTGTTAGCAGTGGAATGACTTGAGTAAACAGGACTTCTGCTGGGTGTGGTGACATATGCCTGCAATTCCAGCATTTGGAAGGCTGAGGTAGGATTGCTGCAGTTTGAGGCCAACCTTGGGTACATAGTAAGTTCAAGGTCAGCCTAAACTACACAGTAAGACCCTATCTTCAGTAAATAAATAACAACAGGACTTCTCCCTCAGAAGCAAAACACAGGATGGATCAAGAGAGAAGACCTGAGACACTGGGCCAAGCAACAGATGCTGCAGTAATTCGGATAAACCACAGAATGACAAGGACTTTCACTAAAATGGTGCCAACCTCAAGCACTCATTTGTTGGGTGGTACAATTCACACCATTCAGTCACTAAAACTATTTTTTTTTTTTGTCTTTTTCCTTTTTATCGGTACCAGGGATCGAACTCACAAACTGCCTGCTTGCAAGGCAGGCGCTTACGCCGCTGAGCTAAATCCCCAGCCCCCACTAAAACTATTTAAGTGAACAGAGGATAAGGATGGGAGAAATCTTAACAGTTATCCTAACTGTAAATCTAATGGAAAAAGATCACAAGCCAGGCTCAGCTCTGGTCTCTACAGATATCATCCCCTTATGCTTTCCATCTCTATTTTCCCTTTATTTCCAAATATAACTCTAAATTAAGCCTATTGGAGTCAGCTTAGATCATTTAAATTACTCCAGTACTTCACTGATACTTTTTCTTTTGGTACCAGAAATCGAACTCAGGACTTAGTGCTTGCCAGGCAGGCACTTGTGCTGCTGAGCTATATCCCTGGCTCCCCAATGATATCTGTGAATCAAACCAATTCCACTGTGGCTATATCCAGCTGAGTGGCTCCAGGCCAAGTGGTCTGACTGAAATCAGGATGATCTCTTTGAGAAATTGTGGCAGAAGAACCTGCCTTGCTAGGACATTTGGTAAACGATTTTAATCGATGTCTGTTGAGCGCTTTGCAATTCTTGGAGATAAGTTCCACATAAGCAGTAGAATTTGCATATCCCTTTGGGGCCTTAGAGTCTAGATTCCACCTCTTGAAGGGGATCGTTTCTTAAGAAAGGGGCAGGCAATTATAAGCAACAACCATTACCTGCAAGAGCCTCAGACTCTATTCAGTACTACGAAGAATCTAGGTATCTTCCACTTTCGTGTCCACTTAGAGAGGTCTCCAGGGAGGGCAGCCCTCAGGAAAGTTCATTTATGAACTGGCAGTGTTGTCTGCTAACACGGTTAACCCTTATTCCTTCCTACAACTGCAGCAACGCACCGCGCTAAGCTACAGCTTCACACCGTGCTCCCTTGCTTTGACAAGGTTAAGAAATTCAGCAGTCCAAGCGTGTGTGCGAGAGAAGTCTTCACATCGATTAAACAAACCATGTAGAGCTCTATTATCGCTCTCTTTGGAAAATTACTTCATTTCAAGCATCCTTCCTAAGCAAAGCAGCTAGTTCTCAAATATATGCCCACAATTCCACAGCTCTGAGGAGTGTGTGGGTGGTCGTTGGTACCTACCACTCCCGAAGCTTCAGCCCAAATCTGGAGTTTTTCCCCTCAGGGAGGGGTCCTGGAGTCACCGCCCCAACACAATCTCCCAGCACGATGCCTGTCAGTCCGAAAAAAGTGACTGTCGTCTCCCCCGGACGTGCGGCCCGGACAGTACCCAAAAGTGCCGCGGTAGCGCGCGAAAAGAGGAGGACACGTCGCAGGGAAGAGGCCTAGGTAGTGAAGGGGCGTGAGCGCGGGTTACTCACGGCGAGGGCGAGCCCGGACACCAGCTGCCACGCAGCACTACTGTGCAGCCCGGGAAGGGACAAGGAGGGTGAAAAGCGGTGCAGCTCGAGAATAAGCAGAAGCACCGTAGGTACTCACTCAGCCAGGACTCCAGGCTCTCTCCTTCCGCCTCCGCCATACTGCAGCCGCCCGGGCCGACCTCGCGGCCTCAAACCTCGCGAGAGTTTGCACCAAACCGAGCCGGGGCGGGGCCTGCATGGGGGCCTGTGGGGAGCTAGTGCTGCAACTCAGAGTTGCGCCCGAGTGGGACGGATACTGGGAGAGCGAGTGTTTCTCTTTAGAGGTTCCTTTTGGGCCCTGCGGCGAAAGACTCTAACGCCCAGATCAATGCCGTGAAATACAAGTTTAGGACCCCGTGAAGTCTTGAACCCTCTGATCGCTCAGGCGCACCGAGGGCAGTTCTTGTGGGGTCCTCGTAGCCAACCAAGATGGCTGCCTCTGCGCTGAAGGTGGTACGATCCTGGTCCGGATTGGCTCCGGGAGTCACTTTCGCTGTCTGGAGTATTCCAAGGTGAGGTGATGTCGAGCAGTTGGAAGCGCTGCTTGCGTCTTTAGAAGGGACGTGCAGGGAAGGAAGGGAGCTGCAGGCAGGCCGCGCTGAACCCTGGAGGTGGCATTGCTCAGAGGGCCGAGATCCCTGAATTCAAATCTCTTAAATTAGCTGCGCCACTTTAAGCCAGTCTGAAAGCTTAGTGACTGCCTGAGTCTGATCTAGGGTTCTGAATCAGAGCTGAAGTGCAACTGTGGAACTGTCTAGGAGTTGGGAGGTGGAGAGAAGAGACGCTTTGGCGAGAAGCCTGCCTTTACATTAACACTTGACAAGGAGTAGGCTTTCCTGAAAGATCCATTTGTGGGAGGTCCTCCTACTTCTTGGGACAGAAGCTAAAATTTTTCAATTCAAGTAGCTTGCGATCTCCTCGCTGCTCTCCCTTTTTGGCGGGTTGCCAAACATGCCTATTGTTCATTTGTTGAGTCAGCTTTTGCCCGCCTCCTCTAATCCCCTTTCAGGCAAACCCAGGTGCGGTGGAGCCGCTATAGTCCTGAATTCCGAGATCCCCTGACTGATAAAGAACATTACCGCAAGCCCGTGGCTGGGCTCACCGAAGAGGAGAAATATGAAAAGGAGCTCAAAAAGACTCAGCTCATCAAAGCAGCCCCAACGACGACAACATGCTCTGTGTTTGCAGACCCAGTGATCAGGTTAGATGAAAACGCACACTTGTTCCACGGACTGGGAGGGGATTTACGGTAAGGATTCCATGATAGTCTTGGAAATCTAAACGTGTTGTTTTTCTCCCTGAAGTAAATTCACCAACATGATGATGAAAGGTGGAAATAAAATACTGGCGAGATCCCTCATAACCCAGGTAAACAATTGCTCCATTTCTGTTACCTTTCTTTTACCTCTAGCTTTGTACTGTGCTTGATTGCTTATTCTTAAAACCTAAGAGGAGGGGGCTGGAGGTTTAGCTCAGCGGCATAAGTGCCTGCCTGGGAAGCAGGCAGTCGTGAGTTCGATCCCCAGTACCGATAAAAAGGAACAAGACAAAAAAAAAATTAAGAGGAGGGATTAAGATGGAGGTCATACTACACCTTAATCTTCACACAGGGAGCAGCTAAGGCAGGAAGATTTCAAGGTCAAATCCAGCCTAGGCAATTTACTGACACCTTGCCTCAAAATAAAAAGGAGTGCGGCTAGCTCAGCAGTATCAAAAATAATTTGTAGGCCCATCATTAAAATTTAACTTTCCTGTAATGTGTGGCCATTTGCCCTACATCACAGAGTTCAGCCTACTCTTTCTATGCTAGCCTAGCAAAGTGGGAAGTGCTTTGCCTTGAACCTGCTGGGGGAGGCACAGCACTGTAGAAGATCCGCATCACAGAAATAAAAGAGCAACTTCAGGGAGCCAGGAAGTCTCTTGCAGTCTCTCTTTGCAGACTCTGGAAGCTGTGAAAAGGAAGCAGTTCGAGAAGCACCGCACAGCTTCTGCAGAGGAACAAGCAATCATCGAACGTAATCCCTACATCATCTTCCACCAAGCACTGAAAAACTGTGAGCCTGTGATTGGCCTCGTACCCATCCTCAGGGGTGGTCATTTCTACCAGGTGAATGGTCTGGCAAGAAAATGCTGGCCACAGGTGAAACAACATTGGGCTGGGAGGCCTCAGAGCTGGGGCAAGATTTGATGGATCTCTAGAGACTGAGGACTGTCAGGATTTACTCATTTGAGACCTGTAGTGTCAACATTCCCAATTTTCTGGCCTGTAATCCCAGCACTTGGGAGGCTCAGGGAGGATTATTACTGGGAGTTTGAGGTCAGCCTAGGCTACCTAGTGAATTAAGGCCAGTCTGAATTGCATAGGCAGACCCTGTGTCAAGAAAAGGAAAAAAATCCCATTTTTTGAGAGCCCACTGACCTCCCTTTTTCCGTCCAGCATCACATATATTCTAGACTGTAAACTTCTCGTAGGAAGAGATGGGGTATCCATCTCTCTACACTAGAGTTAGCACAGTATTTGACCCATAACTGCTGGTTCATCAGTGTTGAACTTAAGTAAGCATCTGTGCTGTAACATTTATTTTTCATTGTCCTAAGTAGGTTTCCTTGACTCTTTCCTTTTCAGTTTAAACTTCATAAGGGTAGGAATTTTTTTTTTTTTTTTTGTGGCGGGGATTAAACTCACAACCTCACGCTTGCCAGGCAGGCCCTTACACCACTGAGCTAAATCCCCGGCCCAGGGTAGGAATTTTCTTACTGCTTGCATCTTTATTGTCCAGCATGCAACCTGACACGAAGTACAGGTGAGGCAAGTGACTCTTGTGTTTTTTTAGGCATCCTTTTGAGGTTGCTAAATCACCCTTGCTTATATGGTTTTTTGCATTGTTGCTTGTATTGTTGGTAAAGCTTTTATTCAGGAGACTCTAGGGTAGTGCTTAATGAGGTTGCTGAGTGAATGTCACTTCTGTTTACTTCTCTGAGGTTACTCACAAGTGGGGGAAGCTCAAAGCAAAAAAAAAAAAAAGGCCTCTTTGCTTAGGAGCCTTACAGGCCGGTCCAGATGGAATGCATGGTGACTCACTGGGGCTTGGAGAAGCAGGAGGCCCTAGCTATGGTAGACCCTTGGATCAACTGGTCTGTGTCTTATCTCCTCTCCCAGGTCCCTGTGCCCCTAGCTGACCAACGTCGCCGCTTCCTGGCCATGAAGTGGATGATCACTGAGTGTCGAGAGCATAAGCACCGGCGGATACTGATGCCAGAGAAGTTGTCACATGAGCTGCTACAGGCTTTTCACAATCAGGGCCCTGTGATCAAGAGGAAACAGGAAATGCACAAGATGGCTGAGGCCAACCGTGCCCTCGCCCACTACCGCTGGTGGTAGAAACTAGGAGAAGCCCAAGGCCCTGTGTCCTTCTGAAAAGTACCTGTGTGTTAAGGATGTAGTTCTTTTCTGAGAACAACAGGGCAGCATGTTTATTGTCCATTTACCCTTTCTCATTGGAGGCAGCACAGGCTCCGTGTGCTCTGCCTCCTTGTAAAGAGGACACACACACACTGATTTGGGGATCTCCTCTGAGAAATTCAGGGCCCTGTCTTTCTCTTTCCTCAGCTCAGGATAGCCCGGTGGGTGTGAAAGAAGAAGCTGTAGTATCAGAAGATTTATTAGAAAATCCTCTCCCTGATACAGAGGTACCACTGATTAAAACTCATTGAAGGCGGGTTGGGGGTTTAGCTCAGCAGCATAAGCACCTGCCTTGCAAGCAGGCGGTCATGAGTTCGATCCCCAGTACTGTCCAAAAAAAAAAAAACTCATTGAAGGAAATAGGCTTCTTTCCACAGTGGTCCTTTTTAAAAATGTAGAAAAAGCAGTGCTCTCGTTCTGCCCCTCAGCATCTTGAGGCAACCCATGGTTACCCATTTCATAGATGGGGAATTGAGGCAGCAAGGTACTGTTGCACTAATGGTTATACAGTGCAGTGGTCAATAGGCTTCTCTGCGTGGTCCTGGTAGAAGGTAATAGAAGCTGATAGGACTTTGGGGGAAGAAGGGACAGACTTGAGCCTAGGGAGCAAGCCTTTGGTATTTCCCTAACCCCTAGGTGGGGAAAGGGAACAGGGCAGGACCAGCACAGTGGGGAAGGTGGGCAGGTCTAGTAGGGGGAAGCCTTTGGGAGAGGCAGAGACTTCTCAGCCAGCTTGGAAGGAGGGCTGAGGAAAGGCCGGTGTTGAAGGGAGCAAATCCCAAGCCAGAATTAGTCAGAAACCTCGCTGTAGTAATACTTGTGGGCAGCAGGGGTGGTCTTCCAGCCAGCAGCCCGGAACTCAATAATCTCTAGCAGCAGCAGCTTGGCCAGGGAGCTGAGGCTTATTGGGAGCAGGAAGCCATCCCGGATCAGGACAAAGAGCTCATCCATGCGCTGTCCATTCATCTTCTCCAGCTGTTCCCCAACCCGGTGCAGCTGCAGCACCAAGCAGTCTACCTACAGGGGTAACGGGGAACCCTGGGTCACCCCAGGCAAGGCCATCCCATCGCCTAGCACACAACAATGATGAGTGCTTGCACTTAGGCTCGTTTTATCCTCACCATCTGGTCACTTGCATCTTACATAAAAGGACACAAGTTCAGGGACTTGCCTAGAACATCTGACTGGGCCTGGTCACACTACTCCTTGACCCCACATGTCTGGCTCCCCATCACTGTCTGACATAGGTTTGGTTTCTAGGCCATCTGCCCCATTACTGGCCATAGCTCTCGCCATTCTTAGCATCGTTTGCCTTTCCTACTAGAAAAGAAGCCTGCTGTCTGTTCTAAATAAAAACCTGCCTCTGCAGCTTGTCTGGTAATTGTGACAGGCCTTAAATGTACCCCTACCCCTGCTCTTGCCCAGAAGTGATGCCCTCCAAGGCCGTCACTTGGCTGAACCCAACTGCTGCCCACCTCCCCAGCCTTCTGCTCCCAGGGCACCTACCTCCTCCTCCTCATTCAGACTGTCTGGCTGGGCAAGCCGGAAGAGGCAGTCATAGATGGGGTTTACCAGGACCATCATAGGCATGTTGTTCACCTGTTTGTGGATGAGAAAGAGGCCACGGCAGCAGTGTTAGTGGCCATAGAAAGCAGTTCAGCATAACTTTGGCATATAGGCCATCTCTGCTTAACAGGGTGGCTGCCCAGGCCTCACCCTCAGGTAGTCAAAGATGTTGCAGATAAAGGTGACATAGCAGACCCAGCCCTGCAGGGAGCATGCTCTCAATTGCTCCCGGGTTTGGTACTCCTGCTGCAGCCGATTGAGGAGTCCACGACGGAAGATACTCTGGCCTGCTTGCTTACTCTCTGCCTGTGAGCCAGGGAGAGGGCAGTGAGGGGGGTGGGGTGGTGTCAAGGCCATCCCACCTGTCCTACTCTGCTTGCCCCTCACATCTGTCCTGCTGGCTGGTCTCTGCCCACTCCAGATGCCTCTTACAAAGCAGCTCCCTGTCTCCTGCCAACCCCCCAACCTGGATGATGGTGTAGCACATGCGTCCTGCTTCTTTGCTGAACACACGGTCCTGCAGAGAATGATCCACAATCACATTGGCCACTTTCTCCAAGTCCACAGAGCCTGGATCTAGGGTAGAGACAGGAGGGAGAGTCTAGAGCTGCCTGCTGATCACATTTGCTGTCATCTACTTCCAAGAGGGATCTGAGGTGTTTGCAGTGGTGTATTTCCCAGTGTACACTTAAATTTAGAAAAGAAAGAGAGATGTAACTTGGTGGTAGAGCCCTTTCCTAGTATGGATAAGGTCCTCGGTTTGACCCAAAACTGCAAAAATAAATAGACAAATCCTAGAGAAGAGTGGGGCATGGTGAAACACAGCTATAATCCCTTCTATATGGAAGGCTGGGGCAGGAGGATTTAAGCCCAACTTGAACAACTCAGCAATTTACAGAGATCCTATCTCAAAAAACAAATACACCAACCCTCAGGTTGTAATTCACTGTGAAGGCTCTAGATTCAAATTCCAGTACTGCAAAAACAACTGTAAGGAGCCTGGGAATTAGCTCAGTGGCTTAACTGCCTGTCTATCAAATGAATGGTATGAGTTTGATCCCTCGTACCAAAAAAAAAAAAAAAAACAACCCTAGAGAAAAGGCATGGTAACTACGTAATGTATGAGCAGCTCTAGCAGTCATCCCACCCCTGGTTGCTCCAGAGAGAAAACAGGGGTGGTTATATGGCTGGTAGCGACAATGTACAGGTGTATTAGGTTGCATATCTTTTCCTGGCATTGGGTTGAGGAAGGAACAGTGAACCCCAAGTCTTCCACAGCAGTATCACAGAATAGTGTTTCCTATAACACACACGATATCCGTGGGCCTCCCCGCAGGCTAAGCCTGGCATTTGAGAGGCTTGCTAACTGTTAGCCAGGTCAAACTTCTGTCCTGTCACAAGAAAGTATTGGTCCAGGGCAATCACATATCTCTTCTGACAAGCTGGATTCTCCCTCCCCTTTCCCATATCAGGTTGCTTCACACATTTGAGAGCTGGCTACAGCAACACAGAAACTAGCAAATGTTGAGGTTTAAAGGGCAGGAACTATGTATTATTTTTTCTTTTGGTAATGGGGACTGAACTCGACCAAGCACTTGGCAGGCAGGCTTTTGTGCCACTGAGCTAAACCCCCAGCTAACTCTTTCATGAGTAATTTTATTTTGGTCTTTTTGAGACAGGGTCTTGCTAGGTAGTTCAGGCTGACCTTTAACTCTTTGTAGCCTAGGCTGATCTCAAACTTGCAATAAGCCTCCTGCCTCAGCTTCCAGAATGCTGGGATTATAGGTATGCACCAACGTGCCCAGCTTTTCATGAGTACTTTTATTTTTTATTTTTTGGTACTGGGAATCTGACTCAACATCTCACACTTGCCAGGCAGGCACAGGGCCACTGAGCTATATCCCAGGTCCTTCATGTACTTTAAAAAAGGCTTTATAGGACCGGGGATTTAGCTCAGCAGCCTAAGTGCCTGCCTGGCAAGCGCAAGGTCATGAGTTCAATTCCCAATAAGGGGTGGAGGGGAAGCTTTACAGTGTGAGAGCGGACTTTGATTCATCCTGCCAAATACTGGCCTGAAGGTATCTTGTCTTTCCAGTGCAAGAGTTAGCCTGTGTGTTGTATTTTTCAGGAAGTGAAAGGAGAAGAGGGCTTGGGCTTTCCCTGGCCTTGGGGCTCTGCAGCTCCTACCTGGTTCCCAAGGGTCCCCACGCTCACCTTTGAGTGCTGTTTTCAGCAGCTGCTGGGTCTCTGCATCAAAAGACTGGATTTTATACTCTTCTCTACTGGCCTCCCCCATGACCACCCAGCCCCAGCAGCTCTGCACTGGGCCGGGACTAATGACAGCACCTGAGGAGGAAGAGAAGAGAAAAGCCTCCGATGTGCAGCACAGAGCTGCAAGTTCCCAGACCTGCCTTCCCTGGGTGGGGCCAGTCAGTGTTTGGGACAGGTGCACAGGTCCATGGCATTCGGTGGTTGGCTGACAGCTCGCCAAACTTGGCTTCTGGTGGATCCTGAGACACCTGTTCTTCAGTTTAGGAAAACCCAGTCGCTGGGATAAAACAGACGGTGAATGCACCTACCCTCCGGTCCCAGCAGGAGGCAGGGTGTTCACAGCGGCTGTCAGGTAGATTTGGGGACAGATGTGTTGAGCTGGAGGAGCCGACTTCCCGGGACAAATCGGCCTGGAAGCTGCTATCTCAGCTAGATTCTTGGCAAGTGACAGATTGACGGCTTTAAGCTGTGGACCGCTCTACAACAGCAGGAGTCTCAGCGCCCCTCGCAGCAGGCTCCCCAGCTTTCGCCAGGAGCCCTGTCCACAAAACCCAGCCCTGCAGCCGCGGGCGGCGGCAGGCCTGCGCGGGCGGTGACGAAGCCTGGTGAACCGCCGGGATCGCTCCGAGTCGGACTCCCACTGTTCCGGCCAGCTTCAACAGGTTAAACTGAGCTCGCGAATGGCAGAGACCCAGCTCTACCCACTCGCGACTCTCAATTCCTGAGCTGCATTCTGAATCCTTCCCCTTCAAGCGTGGTTCCCGCTGGAGTCCCCTCTTGGGACTCAGTGCCTTTCGTCAGGCCAGAGAAAGCAACCTTGAGGAGACCTCGGCAGCCTCCCCAACCCGGGAACGCTCTTCCCCGACGCGTCAGGCCTGCCAAGGAGCACACCGCGAGGAAGGCCGAGCGCTAGCGGCGGCGAGAGCGCCGGGCCCCGCCCGCTGCGCCCGGGCTCACGGCGGGCATGGTGCGCGCGCCCGTGCGCGGGGCCACTAAGCTCAGCGGTAGGTGCGGCGCGAGGTGGCGTTTCGCCAGCGCCACCTGGCGGGCAGAGAGCTGCCCTCAAGTCCCACCTTCCCCGGATGCGACGCCGAGGTAGGGGCGGCGCTGAAGTTGAGCTACGCAGCCAGCCGAGCCCCGGGCAGCCCCTCCTGCACCCCACCATTCCCTACTCACCCGGTATGCTCCGCCCCTGACCGAGATCATGAGGGCGCCTGCGCGCCCCGGCGGATCCGCTCCTCGGTCCGCATGACGTCCTTGGTCTTGCACGGTGAGACCCCACCCTGGTCACTAATTGCGTGGCAGGGCTCAAGTGAACTGGGCTGGAGGAGACTCACCAGGCTGTGTGGTGTGGGAGGAGCTCCTGGAGGGCATGGCCCAGACCTTGAGTGCGGAAGGACTAGGACTAGCAGAGCGGGCTACGGTCCCATTTGGGGCTGTGCTCCCACCCGGTAAAGAACAGGTAAAGAACGCGGAGGGGGCCGGGCTGAACCCCACCCACTCGCTGTTCTGCCCTAGTGCCCTTCAAGTTAAGTGTCAGATTCAAGGGGCAGGCTAAGAGATAGTAGTTCACAACGGGTGCCCCTCGCTCTTTGGGGGGTTTAGAGTAGTGATGTTGGGCGAGCTTTGCTTCTGCACCCTCCCCTTCCACCCCCAGCTCAGACGGGACAAGTCCTGATGGTGGATTCATCTTGCCAAAGTTCTCTCCTTCTGTTAAAGGGCTGTCAAAACGGTCACATTTCAGTTGTCCATTTCTGGACAATCCACCTGTGGCAAGAGAGGAGTATAAATTACACTTCAGTGGAATTTCATAAAAAATACATTCAGTCGTGGATTGGAAATGTAGCTCAGTGGCCAGAGCCTTTGCAGCGCAGGTTCTGAGGGGTTCAGTACCCAGCACTGCAACAACAAAAGCAACAAAAATCAGGCAGCTCCGCAGGCTTCTTATGCCAAAGGTGGACCTTAAGGCTTCCTATACCAACCTGCAACCTGGGCCTTCAGGAAAGTGAGAAGGGGCTCAGAACTCACTGGGCAATACTGCTTCCCTCAGTGCAGGGGCTGAAGCCCGAGCTCTAGGAAAGGGCTGCCCACTCGCAGCCAAGCCCCCAGCCGCACACAGGGCAGGAAGGGTGGCTGTCGGGTTCTGTATTTCCTTCTTTCATACCCCTGTAACCCAGGTTTCTCCTCTGCATCTGACATACATATGTGGGTCCCTGGGCACTGATAACCCCCTGGGTGCCAACTGTGCCCCTGCCAGGCTGTCTGCTCAGCCCCTTCTTTCTCCCATCCCTGTCATTACACTGCTTCAGGGCCACAGCCCTTCCGGGGTTACAGAGAACACAGTGCTGAGCTCAGCCTGGCAGACACCCTGAGTGGGTATGGATACCAGCTGGCAAGCGCTGAGCTCTTCACTCTTGCAGGGCTCACCCAGCACCCAGTGAAAGGGGAGCCATGCAAGGGGAAGGGCTGCACCTTGACCACCTCCTGCTGCTTAGCAGCTGCAAACCCCAATAGGCTCTATCCCAGGAGGCCCAGCTGGTGCGCCAGCCTTTAGACGCAGAGCTCGGGTTCAGGACAGCTCAGAAGCCACGTACTCAGCTGGTACCCTCCCTCCAGACCTAGGAATGGGGCTGCGACTGCTGAGCCAAGTAGAATTTGAGGAAGGAGGGTCCCTTTCCCCATCCTCTTTGAATAAAGATGTGGATGGTACAGGAAAGTAGAAGAGGCCAGGCTTGGTGGCTCATGCCTGTAATCTCTCTCAGGAGGCTAAAGCAGGGGGATAGGCTCAAATTCAAGAATAGCAAGACCTTGCCTCAAAAAAATCAAAACGAAGATGGAAGAGTAAGATAAGGAATGTGCTTTTTGCTTTAATGTCTATTGAATAAGTTGATGGGAAAAAGCCCAAGCGTGAGGACCAGACTCCTGCAAAGAGCCCAAGCCCAGCCTTTTGCACTGGAGCCTTGGCCTCTTCCTAACTTTGGGAGTTCTCCTAGCCTACTGGCTGTGAAGGGGAGGATGGCACCTGATGCTTCTGGGTTTGGGCTGGACAGCAGAAATGACTGCAAGCTGCTTCTCACTGGTGTTGGTCACACAGTCTCAGTCCTGGGTACCGTGTTCTTTCATGGAGAAAGTCCTTGCCCTTGGGTGGTGTCCCAACTGACAGGTCAAGGCTGCCACCCTGTTCCCAGTGATACTGATGCTCAGAATACCTCCCCTGGTGCTCACGCCAGGTGGCTTCTCAGTGCAACATGAGATTCAAGGTCAAGTCTTACTTCTTTTGGGAGGTGGCCTCCAGTAAAGTTTTGGGCCTTCTCACTCTCAAAGCTAGCTGTCCGCCTTCTTCATGCAGTGGAAAAGGTTACAGAAGAGCTCATACCAGAAAAACACAAAACCTGTGGAGAGGGCAGCCTTTAGCAGGCTTGGGGACAGACCCTTGAAGAAGCCTTGGATGCCTTCTTCTTGCAGCACCTGCTTGGTGCAATCCAGGAGGCCCCTATAACTCCGCACCTGGAGAAAAGAAGGTCAAGTTGAAGAGAAAGTTGGTGAACACAGGGATGTACCTGGTATATCATAGCTCCTAGGAAATAGTTGCCAGGTGAAGGAAGGAACACAAAATGGCCTCATTCTGTCTATTACAACAGAGCTAAGTCAGACTTAACAGATGAAGCACCAGGAAGTCAGCAGCTGGACAGAGCGCCTTCCTGCTGAAGAGGCTTAGAATGGCTGTGGTTCTGAAGGACCCAGGGACAACACCGGACCCCTCTCTCCAGAGCTGCTTTGGGTTATTTATCCCATTCCACCTGGTCCTCTCAGGCAGGTCTGAAGCTTGCCCTTGCTAGCTCCTTGTACCAGTGCTGGCCCTTCAGCCTGGTCTCCCTGCCTCGCCACATCACAAACTACTGTCAGACCCATGTGCCCCCAGTGCCTTGCTCCCCTCTGAAAGCTCCAGTAACCCCTGATCGTGACACCACAAAATAAAGGCCAAGTTCTCCAGCCTGCTGTTTGAAGCATTCCACCATCTGGCCTCACCCTCTCTCCTTGACCTTGGCTCTCACTGGTGCTTCCCTGAGCTGCCTCTGCTTGCCCTAACTGCTGGCCAAACTAGCACACAGTCTTCGTAAAGAACAGGGCCTCTTTTTGCTGGGTGTGGTGGTGCACGCCTGTAAATATTCTGGAGGCTGACACGGGAAGATCACCATGAGTTCAAGGCCAGCCTGGGCTACATACTGAATTCAAGACCAGCCTGGGCCAAACAGTGAGACCCTGTCTCAAAAAAAGTGCTGGGGGGTGGAAAGCAAGGCGTCCCTTCTCCATCCTGGATGCTGTCCCTGTCCAAATTCACACTGCAGCGCGAGTCGGTAAATGGAAAGAGGAGGTTACAAAGACTTGCATTCCATGCAACCCCACACTTGTTAAAATGTACATCTGAGTTTATGCAAGGAAACAAAACTGGAGAGGACAAGCTGGGCAAGCAGGAGCCGGTGGGAGCTGGAGGTGGGCCCCTTCATGTGCCTAGTGAGTGCTGTCTGTGTGCAGTGGCTCACCTGGCCGAAGCCAGCCCTGGCGTGCTCAAATCCGCCAACCTGAAGCCGTTTCTTAATGAGGTCCAGGGGGTAAGTAAGGGTCTTGCTGATGATTCCAGCTCCAGAGCCACAAAGCAGGTTTTTCAGGTTTCCTGAACCAGAGAAGCAAAATTAGGGGGAAGGGTAGGAGAATTCAGTTAATGACAGATGACTCAGAAGTCATTAGGTCTAATCCTCCACCACAAACCCAAAACCCATATGCATCCTTGGATCTCTGGCACCATGAGTGATAACTGACTGTAGACTGGAGGGGTCAGAGCAGCAAGGCATGAGTCTCCATGCAACAGGACCACAGATGGAGACCACAAGGGTCTGCAGGTTCAGCCAGAAGTCACATGCTGGAGAGGAAACATGTCCCTCCCTGCCAAGCAACAGCGAACCAAAAAACCAAAACCAAAAACAACAGGCAGGTTATAAAGTTGTGTTTCTGACCCCCCCAAAAAAAACCCAACAACAAAAAAAACCCCTGGGCCTATCACTGGAAGTAAATTGCAGTGATGCTAATGACAGAGGTGGAAAGAGTTGGGAGGAACAAATTCATCTCTAAGCTACTGGGTTTGCCCATTTGGCTGACTATGCTACAGGGCCAGGTACAGAGAACAGTGGCACCTGAGCTGCTGACAGAAAATGATTTCCAGGTTCACGGAGAGATGCGCCTGTAGGCTGAGATGATCAGCTTGGGCTCGTGGAGCAGCTCACCAGTTTGCTTCCCATCAGCCGGGATGGCCCAGTCATAGGCGCGCTTCAAGGACTTGTAACAGGAGAACTGTAGCCCAGCATAGGGGAAGATGGCGATCAAGGTAGGGGCCAAGCCTTTGTAGAAGACCAAGGGTCCTTCAGTCCTGTACATGGTCACCACGGCATCCTGCAGGGTCTTATAGACCTGGACATGCACATGTGTACCTTGCATGAGCTCAGCAAGGTGTTTTTAGTCCAAGATTGGCCTACATTCCTCTTCCCCTCATCTAAAAACACAGCTAATATGAGTGTAACTTCTCCTCCCAAGAGGACAGGCCAGGAAAATAGCAGACAGACAAAAGGATGAGGCTTTTTGGCTGCTCTCCATCCTAGACACTTATGTAGTTATTAAATTATGCATGTGCACAAAAACACATTTCCAAAGAGTCAGCACAGGTGGCTATGGTAGTGCAGGGCTGTAATCTCAGCACGTCTGAGCCTAGCCTGGGGAATTTAGTGGCTCAGTGAACCAGTCTCAAAATAATAAAAACACTGAGTTCAGTGTGAAGGGCCTTTGATTCAATCCCCAATATTAAAAATAATAGTCACTAGAGCATCTTCAGAACAGCAAAAGGTATAGTATGATGCCGGGCATGGTGGTATATCCCTGTAATCCCAGCATTTGGGAAGCTGAGGCAGGAGGGTCACCATGAGTTTGAGACCAGTAGAGGTTGCATAGGTCAGCCAAAACTACATAGTGAGACTGTCTCAATCAACAAACAAACATTTGATTGGGGGAGAGGGAGTACTGGGGAATTGAACCCAGAGCCTGACAATGAGATAATTTCTAGCCCTTTCAGTTTTTTGTTGTTTGAGACAGGGTTTGACTACACTGAGCAGGCTGGCTTTAAATTTGCAATCTTTCTGCCTCAGCCTCCCAAGTACCTGGGATTATAGGTTATGCTACAACCAGTATCATATAGATCAGCTTTATGCCTGATTTGAAATGTTCTAAGAGGCTGTGACTTGGCCCAGCTGGGGTATGATGAGACACCAGGCTGACTGCAGGCTCAAGAATGCTGTGTGCATCTGAGGCTGCTGGCAGCCGTGCTGAAGGACTTTCCCCTGGGACCTCTGTGAAGTACAGAGATGCCGCAGTTTGTGAATTAAGTGTACCGGGAACTCAGGAAGCCACCAACAAGAAAGAGCAAAGATTCTGCCCAGGGCTCCCACTTTGTTTTTCTGTTGCTAAAGAAGAAATGAAGAGCAGACGGGTCATTTCAAAATTAATTTCTTTGTAGAAGAAGGCAGGCAGAACAAAACTGGTTAGGTTAACTTTTCTGTGAAAAGATTAAGGCAGGAGGAACTTCATTATGGTGCTGAAACTGGCTAATCTGAGTTTTGCTCTTATCTAATCCTGATTTCTCGGAAAGTCAGATAAACAGCATAGCTTCAGCCAGCTGGGATCACGGGTGTGTGTCACCACCCTCGGCCTCCATTTCCCTTATGATCCAGCCCTATCTCTCAGACTGTTCCCAGGGAACTTTGCCCTTCCCAACCAAAACGGCATCAAGGTGTCTCAAAAAACTCTCCATCCAGGAACTCCACCCTGAGAAATGTAAAGAACTGCAAAAACTGATTGTTACATTTATCCCAGTTGAAACTTCCTAGTCAACTGTCTTTCCTTCAACAAAAGCAAAAGTGAGACAGTGAGGAAATCCTCTTTTCTTGGTTGAGAAAACACACACACCACACATGTGCACGTGTAGTACACCTCGGGAGCACTCAGGAAGTCCTTCCTTGAATCTGATTCAGCTTCCCATTTCTTTCTACTTATTTCCTGTGGAATCTAAGGGCATGCCCACAGTGACACAGCCAGAACCCCGGAGTCTTGCTTTCCTGGATGCCTGGCCCTGCACCCAGCCGGCCATAGTTATGGGTTTGACCACCTGGCTGCTACCTTCACAACCCAGGGCTCCCCAAGCTTTGCTCCCCCCATCAACCGGAACCCCACCCCCTACACACCTTCTTGCTGTGGTCTCCCTCTCTCGTCTGGCCCTGACCACTCACCCTGGGCTCACCCTGAGCTGCAAATCGAGTGCGCAGAACATCTACGGGGTGTACCGCGAGGGTGGCTGTACAGGCAGACAGACCGCCACACACAAAATGCGCTGAGAATTCGTGGGTCTCATACATGTTGGCTCTGTGGACCAGCTCGGTCAGCAGTTCAAATGACAAAAACTGCAGGAGCAAATGGAGAAGTCACTGATGGCCTGAGGGATGATGGCAGAAACCCATATACTACCTGCCACACAGGGAGGCCAGGCTTGGGAGTAGGCAAAGCTAAAGAGACACTAAGGACAGGGACAAACACAAGAGCCGGTACTTCTGTGTAAACTCAGATCGCTCACCTTCAACAGAAAGAAAAGAAAAAAGAAACAAAATAATTCAGATGCCCTTTTATATTCTACTTGAATAGTCTTACTTAAGAGATTAAAAAAATAAAAGAAAAGTAGGGCTGGGGATTTAGCTCGGCCTTGCAAGTATGCAGTCGTGAATTCGATCCCTGGTACCCCCTCAAAAAAAGTATATGGCGGGGCTGGGTAGCTCGGTGGTAAGGCACTTGTCTAGCATGATTGAGACCTGGAGTCACATCCCCAGCACCACAATACACAAAGAGCAAAACAAACAAAAACAAGGAGGGGGCATGGTGGCACACATCTGTAACTTCAGAACTCTGGCAGGCTGAGGCAGAAGGACCACAAATTCAATGAGACAAATGAACGAAAGAAAGAAAGGAAAGGAAGGAAGAAGAAAAAGAAAGAAAGCGAGCTTTCATAATCAGTACAAAAACCAGAGATTCCAGGTTCAGTTCCCAGTACTGAAGAAAAAAACTTGAAAGTACAGTACCGTCTTGGTTCACGAATGCTTCTGTCCCCAATTTAGTTCTCAACAAAAGTGACAAAATCTTGTGCCCATTCACAAATGCTACATCAGTGACAAACACAACCACAGCCACCTTCCTCATACAGAAACAAATGTAGCCTTCTTCCCCTAAAGTGTAACAAACTAAGTTCGTGAACCAAGGCACCACTGTACACGGAGGAGGAGGATAATCCAACTGTAGTCCAAGGCCTTGGCTACACAGTGAGCTCCTGTCTCAAAAAGCCACAGATGGACAGAGCAGGGCAGGGGAGGTCTCCCTGGGCAACTCAGTGGTGGAGGACTCACCTAACATGTAAAAGGCTCTGGTACTGCAAAAAAATAAATAAATCCATGCACAAACATGCCGAAGCATATGGAGAAAAATTTATGGAGAAAACTACTGGTTTACTGGATTTTGTGAGTACAAGGGGAAGAAGACCACTGCCTAATCGGTGGCAGGGAGCTTCGGCCCAGCTGGGGTGGTCTGTGTGAGACTTGCTCTCCCCTGAAGGACACTGTGGAGAATGTGGTTCTGGGCATAAGCCCTCATACTCGGGTCCTCCCCCGCTAGGCACCTCAGCATTTATTCACCACTCTAGTGTCTGCCAAATGCCAGATGAAGGCCTGAAACAGTAGGGCATGTTATGCTGGCACTGCTGCAGGAGGGGCACCAGTGATCGCTCTGGGGCCAGCTGTGTGGCCCAGGCGTGTGCTTCTCCCTCTGCCACTTGCTTTTAGTTTGGCGGGTACCGGGGCTCAAACCCAGAGTCTTGCACATGCCGAGCTCATGGCCTCCCACTGAGCTCCCCCGCCTCATTCTCACTAGTCCTTTGGTTGGGTTGATGACAAAAAGCTTTTTTGGGGGGAGACAGGGTCTTGCTATGTAGTGCAGGCTGGCCTCAAACTTGCAGTGATCCTCCTGCCTCAGCCTCCTGAATGCTGAGAACATAAGCTTTCTGTGCCTCAGTCTTATCTGAAAAATCAGACTGACAAGAGGAACAAGTTCACAGAACCACTGCGAGACAGTGCACAGAAAGAGCTTAGTGTGGAGGCTAGGCCTGCAGTGCAAAAAGCAGCCACGATCAGCATCACCATCAGGCCACTGCACGCTGTGCACGCAGCCCACAGCCAGGGCCAAGCGGTCGCATCGGTTTCCACAACCTCCCTGCGACTCCTGCCTGCTGTACCTCCTCAGTGCTGTCATGAAGCCCAAATGAAGCGCACTGACGGTGCTACTTCAAAAACTGAAAGGTGGAGTGGGGATGTAGCTCAGTGGCACAAGCTCTTGCCTGTCAAGCATGAGGTCATGAGTTTGATCCCCAGTACCAACAAAACAAAACTGAAATGTGTCTTTCCTTCATCTTGGAGCCTGCAGAGGCCTGCTGGGAATAGAACTTCTAAAGGGCACGTATGTCTGGAAGACTAAAGTGTAAGGTCATCTGTGCTGGGTACACGTAAAGTATCTAGAACCAAAGGGAACAGCCAGCTCTTCTTAAAACTGAAGGTGTTAGGGCTGGGGATTTAGCTCAGCAGCATAAGCACCTGCCTTGCAAGCGCGTGGTTGTGAGTTCGATCACTGGTACCGGTAAAAAAAAAAAAAACAAAACTTGAAGGTGTTTATGGCTGTGATGAAACGGAACTCTACTTGGGGAGAAAAATGCTTATGTGTACAAAGAAAAAACAATACAGTAACTCCAGAGGGCAAACCAAGCAAAACCAGATCCATGGGAACACTGGTGTGGTTTGTGCCAGATCTGAAGCAGTCTGCCCGCTAAGGCCACTGGACACCGAATCTATGTGATGCTGAGCCCCTCAAGGAGTTAAACTAATGAAAAATAAAAGGGCATTTGTGCCCTTGTGTTAAAACAAACTGAAAAGCACTGGTACTGCTCTTTGCCAACCCTCAGGGGGAGGCAGTGTGAAACCAGCCTCCTAGGTGCAACCCTGAAGTAATTAGGATACAAGACGGGAACAAGAAGAAGGAGAGATTCAGGTACTGCTGTTCTCCCTGCTAAGCCAAATGGGAAGCATGGGGTGCTTTCTCTGCCACCCCTCACAGTATTCCTGCTGTGTTACCCTCCCCCTGCTTCTCCATTGAGCAACAGGACCCAGGCAGCTGCCAGGACCCCTGCCACCTACTTGGACAGCTCCATAGCCTATGGAGAGAAGCTGGGCTGGAATGTGTCCTTTCCAGAACGCTGTTGGGCCCTCCTCCTGCAAAATCTGCTTGGCAGCCTGAAGGATCCCATGGTACTTAGCTTTTGGGTCACTGTGAGACAGGCGCTCAATCTGGAGCTGGGGACCAAAATCAAAAAGGTCAGGAGAGTGGCAGATGGGGTGGGGTGAGAAGGGAAAATTTCAGAAAAGGTAATGTAGATGAAGTACTGCACTTTGACAAAATTCCAAGTTTTAGGATCAGCCTTTACGAGAAGGACTGAACTTGTCATCCAGTCTGTTACAGAGAAAAAGGGGAACAGGGTACCTGGAAACGGATCTTGATGACATCCAAGGGACTGATCAGCAGGCGAGTAACAAGTCCAGACATAGAGCCTGCCATCGCCACCTCGAACTTGGAGTTACTCCTATCATCTGCTTTTGGGTCATAGCCGACCATCCCCGCCTCTGGCCCATCCAACGTCCATCAATATCCAGCTAAATGCAAGAGAATGGAGTGACCACAGAGCCGGTTTACAGGGTCTCTGCCAGAACATTACCCCCTCCGGGCAGCTGTCTCTGCTGCCCAGTCTGTACAACAGGCCAGCACCCTGGTTGTTTTGGTTGGAATGCGGATTTTGCCTTGCTCAACTGGCATGCCCAGTGCTGGAGAAGAGCTCTTCCTAGTGAGTGCTCAGTATCAGGGGACTGAATGAACGGGCTTCCTGGGAAATCATTCACCCTCAGCGCTAACTGGATTTCCAGAGGCCTCTGGTAACTTTATGGCAAGCCCTGGCTTAGTGGGAAGTTTAAGCCCAATTAAGTGAACTGTGAGGGGTCTGTCAGACACTGGGGGCGAGAGGGCAGGACCTGGGATTCTCTAACAAGCCCCCACTATACAAAGGAAGAGCCCAGTGACCTGCGCACCTCTGCCTTTGCCTTCCATGGTTTTTGCACGGCCTCAGGTCCACCCTCGCACAGTGGGGGCGAGTTAGACTATGAAATGACGCAATCAAGTCCCCGTTGGGCCGCTCCCTGCAGACAGCATCAGCCTCACTCTGCCCTACCCCATCTCCCCTGGCCTAACTGGTGCAGCCTTGGTGCTTCTGGCTAGTGCCTGGGAAACACTGTGCACATTCCTAGCTACCACCCTTGCCTCTGCCCAGTTCCACCCGCTCTTCCAAGGCCAACGCCTCTCATTCACGGGAGCTCGGCTCCAGAGCGCCCCCACCTGGACATGTGCATATTTCCCCTAGGATTCCCAGCACTAATGTGTATTCTCTGTCCCCTCTGCCCTTGGGAAAGGGGCTCCAAACAGGCAGAGAGAGTCTCAGGCACCTATCTATGGCTCCAGAGATCACTAAGTTTTCACAGCAAAGGTTTGGAAAATTGTTAATGAATAAATGGTTAGAAACCAGATAGCCGTATGTGATGGTGCACACCTGTAATCCCAGCACTTGGGAGGCTGAGGCAGGAGGATTGTTGCAAATTCGAGACCAGCCTGGGCTACAAAGTAAACTCAAGGCCAGCCTGAACTGCATAATGAGACTTGTCTCAAAAAGACCAAAAAAATCCCCCCAAACAAAACAGTTTCAGATTATAGAAATAGTGGTAACTTTACAGGAAGTTTAGAAGACAGAATTAAAACCTTACCATCTTTATTTTATTTTGTGGTTCCCCAGGGCCTTTGCATTGAGCCACATCTCTAGCCCTTTTAAAATTTTACTGCAGGCCGGGGATTTAGCTCAGCGGCACAAGCGCCTGCCTTGCAAGCAGGCAGTTGTGAGTTCAATCCCCGGTACCGATAAAAAGGAAAAAGACAAAAAAAAAAAAAAAAAATTTATTGTGAGACACTGTCTACCTGCATTGGCCAGGTTGGGTTCAACTTGCAGTTTTCCTGTCTCAGCCTCCCAGAGTGCTGGGATTACAAGTGTGTACCACCAAGCCTGGCTTTTTTTCTTGGTACTAAGATTTGAATCCAGCGCTTTAATGCAGGCAAGACAAATACTCTACCACTGGGTTATGGACCCAGCCCTTGCTTTTATTTTGACTGATAATAGGGTCGTGTCAGGCTGGCCTCAAATTTGTGGTCCTTCTGCATCAGCTTCCCAAGTAGCTGAGATTACAGCCACCCACTGGCGTACCCAGCATAACCCTATCATCTTAGCACTATTTATTTATTTACTTACTTATTTATTTTAACACTTTTTATGTCATGAATTCCTATTTTTTGTTTTGTTTTTGTCTTTTTTTTATCGGTACCAGGGATCAAATTCATGACCACACACTTGCAAGGCAGCCCCTCCTTTTTGAGTCTTTGCCTTGTATCCTGTCTTTTGAATGCAAGGGGTTTTTTTCTTCTTTTTTTTTTTTTTTTTTTTTTTTTTTTTGTTTTTGTTGAGACAAGGACTTGCTATGTAGTAAAGGTGCCTTGGATTCAATATGTAGCCCAGTTTGGCCTCAAACTTGTAGTGATCCTCCTTCTCAGCATCTGCAGTGCTGGGACTACAGGTGTGCACCACCACCCCTGGCAAAATGATTTCACGCTATTACAAAATCTTTGTCACATGCCTGTAATCCTAGCATTCTGGAAAGCAGAGGGAAGAGAATCCCAAGGGTTGGGATTACAAGTGTATACCACCATGGCTGGCTCTTCTCCTATTTCTTTATTTTTCCCCCAACCCCTTTTAAATTTTCTCCCCTAAGGGTAAAACTGCCTAAAGGTAAAATACTGAGGGCATATTTACTATATAAAATTTTGTTTCGTTTTAGATTGTGTTATATAACTATAAAATCTAATTCATATGGTTAAAGGTAGCAAATAAATAGCACAATTTGTCATTTTCCAGGCTGTTTGACACTATATTTACTGCTGATAGTAAATATGTGACATAATTGTTCTAATCAGTTGTTTTTTCATGTATGCCCATGCTGAGAATGCTTAAGAGTCACCAAAAAACTACAGGCCAATGCTAAAGGCACAGGGCTAGGTCAAATAGGCAGCAATTTCTCATCCCCAATAAATTGAAGAGGCAGGGTCTTGCCACAGAAAAGACTCAAATCTACACAATTAGGAATGAAAAGGGCAAAATCACAATAGACCCTACAGAAATCCAGAAAATCAACTATACCTACTTTGAAAACTTGAATTCTAATAAAATGGAAAATACAGAAGAAATGGACAGATCCCTAGATACACATGAATTACCAAAGCTGAATCAAGAAGCTCTAAGCCGTTCCCGGAGAACATGGCGGACAGATAACAGATGCTACGGAGGCTCTCTCTGAAAGGCTTGGTTCAGAAGTCAGGAAGGGTGCGGAGTAAGGGGACATAAGCCGGTGGAGATATGCTCTGCTGACTCAGGAATGAACTGGGCTGAGAGAAACCAACTTGGAATGCAGTCCTGGTGCTAAAGCAGGAACAGAAAAGCCTCAGTGTGGAGGCTGGACCCCGCGCCATTGGAAGCCGCGATTTGGGTTTCCCGCCACGCGGCGGCTGGCTGCCTCTACAGCGGCTCGGCAAGGAGAGAGACGTGCGGAAACTCTGGGAACGGGAGTCTGCGAACGGAGTCGAAAACCTGACTGACTTGTGAGGTGAGTGAGAGGAACTGACACTCTACCACAGTTTGACTCCAGCGGAGGACTTTCTGGGCCGGGGCAGTCCTGCGGGAGCAGGGTGCGGTGGCGACTCCAGCCACACATCCCCCTCTCGGGCGGGATTGGTGAAAAGTGCAGCCTGGCCTGCATGACACTGCTGGCGGACCCGGTAGGCTGGCCCAACCCAGATCCCAGAGCCTGACGGAGGCCGGGAGGGGCGGGCCCCGTGTAGGCTGCCTAACTCCCTGGTGCGCTGCGGTGGGCAGGAACACCTAGCCAGCGCAATTCGATCAGGCTGTGGCTGACAGGGAGAGAGGCTGAGCCTCCTATGTAAGCTTGCATATATAAGGAACAAAGAATATAGGAAAAGGCAGCAACAAGAAAGGCTCCTCGGCCCCCAATTCTGAGGCAATAGCGGACACCGCACCAATAGACATAAAGCGCCATATAGAGAGCCTCATAGACCAATTCAGGAATGAAGTTATCAATGACCTGAAGCTAGAAGTAAGCAGAATAGTTAGAGAAATGCTAAGCACCACACAAGAAAAAATGGATGGTGGAATGGAAGAACAGAAAAAGAGGGGAGAATTGTTTGATGGAGAAAATAGAGAAAGCATAGAATACGTGAAGCAGGTTCAAAGGGACTACCAGGAAACTAAAAACTCTATCGAAAACTGGCATAACAGCTTGAAAGAAACTAAGGACAGACTATCTGAACTGGAGGGCAGACTTGTAATATGGGAGAATGAAATGAAAAACTTCTTAAAAATAACAAAGAAACAAACAGCAATAATACAAAGACAAGAAGATGATAAGAGGATCCATAACTTAAGGATTAAGAACATAAAAGAAGAAGTAGGGACACAAACAAGTGAACTACAAAAGCTACTCACAGAAATAATCCAGGAGAATTTTCCTAATTTAGCAAAAGGTAAAGACACTCAGATGTATGAGGCATACAGGACCCCAGCCACCTACAACCCAAACAGAGCAACACCCAGGCATATAATAATAAAAATTCCAGAAATTCAATACAAGAACAGAATATTGAAAGCTGTCAGAGACAAGAAACAGACCACTTACAAGGGAACACCCATCAGAATTACAGCAGATTTCTCTGCACAAACCATCAAATCACGAAGAGCATGGGGGGAAATAATTCAAGCTTTGAAAGATAATAATCTCCAGCCAAGATTGAGATATCCTGCACAACTGTCCCTGGAAATTGATGGAAAAACAAGGTGCTTCCAGGATAAAGAGGACCTGGGGGAATTTGCAACCACCAATTCAACTCTACAGAGAGTTTTGCAGGATATTCTAAAAAAAGAAAAATACAAAGAATCCAGAAATAGTGGCGGGGAGGCCACAATGAATGGAGCAGAGAACAAAATGAAGAAGACAAACTGATAGCCACTGACAGAAAAAGAGCTCAACAGAAACGAGGCAGAGAAGATTGGATGATAGGAACAACTAATTTGGAGAAAATGACATCTTAATAGGTGAAACTGATTTAGTATTATCTTGTTTTGAAGTCTCATCTAGCTTTTGTTCTTCTGTCTCCAATGGTCTAAATAGGTTGTATCCTATTGGATTTTATTATGTACGATAGTATAAGCAAAAACCTTTTAAAGACAAGGAGATTATACAGAAACCATTGTTCATTTTCTGTTAGTCGATTCTAAATACTCTGTAATGCTGTCAGTCTCTTAAATGGTTTTACATTGTTTTGATATACTTAATGCTACAGTATACGAAGTTGTACTCAAGGATTTCAAGGAAAGAGTCAATATGGTAACTACTTTTGGGTCGGGATTATCTGGTGGTGAAACACTATTCTGCTTAAATGGTTATGTTTTGATCTGCACTGTTTCACTGTTATGCCCTCTTTTATCTCAATCTCCATTATTTACTTTTTTATTTTTATCCGTTTAATTAAAGGGAAAAAAATAGCAGGATATATTATAGTAACCCACTTTGACTTTCCATTATCTCAATTTAAAGCCCTGTATTACTCTCACCATCTTGTTTTTGACTGATGTTCCCCTATTCTGTTTTGCTGGATAGTATCAGGTTCGAAAGTTTAGGCATCAGCTGTGAAGATAATGAGATTCATTATGACGCCCATTCTCATTGACTTTTATCTACTTTTGAAGACCTACAATGTCTCCAATGCTTTGGTTTTGTCGGTTTTATTCTTTACTGTTTTGTTCAATCGTATTATAACTAATGATATAGGCAATTCTATTAGAGATAGTGGGAGGCATTATGGTAACCATTGTTGATCACCTTGTATTATGTTTTTACATTATCTATTATGTCCACCCTTTTGACTTGACAGATTCTGTTCTGTTATGTCACATTTGGCTCTACTCTCTTCCAAAAAAGTAATAAGAACCGTGAGAGCAATGAAACCCAAAATGTGTAACAGTCATTGTACAAAAGAGAGGAAAAGAAAGTGCTCTAAACTATATAACTGCATGTATATTTAAGTGTATAAGATAGGAAATGATATCACAGAGTTTTATTGGATCATTGAACAGATCTGTTTGCAGTATCATTGTTGGAATGTCCACTTTACAAGCTTTAATTTTGTGACTTGAACAATTATTTCTAAGATGACAATATGCAATCCATTAACTAGTGATTTCCTACTGTTTATTTTTTTTCTGTAAATCTGTATAACTTGTACCCTTTCTCTGCTTTTTTTTTTCTTTTCTCCTTAAATAAAATTTAAAAAAAAAAAAAGAAGCTCTAAGCCAGGGATTTAGCTCAACGGCATAAGCACCTGCCTTGTAAGTGTGCAGTCATGAGATCAATCCGTGACACCAAAAAAAAGAAGAAGACCTAAAAATCCTAAATAATCCAGTATCAATAAATGCAATTGAAACTAAATACAGAACTGGTCAGGTAGGTGACTGATTAACTGCAGCACTGGGCCTTGAATATTACGCTTTTCCACTGCTACATACCTAGCCTGATTTGTTTTTTGATTACAAGTAGGGGTCATCATACCTGGCTAAATATGAGATGGTTTTAAAAGGGATTTTAGGATTCACCAGGTGCTTGTTGGCAGAAGGTGGTCCCTGCCTATAGAACAACACCCCCCACTCCCTTGTTTCATGATTGAGGTTCCCCTTAGAGGAGTCTAAATTCGGCATGGCAAATAGAAGGTAAAACCTCCCTTGGTTCCCCAGAAAATGCTCAAGTCCCTCTGAGCAGTGTCAGTGCCCTGTGGTCTGGAAGGGAAAGGGGAGCAAGCCCAAGTGCCAGGTGGTATGGCTGTTTCAAGAGGTGGTATGGCATGGAGGATACCAGGCTCTTCCCTCTGGAAGGCCCGCCTGCACAATTCCCACACCGGGTAAAGGGTGCTGGGAAGGCTGGGTTGTGTGAAATTTTTATAAATAAGCAGATCTCCATGGTGAAATAACCTTAGACCTCTGATCAAGGAGCCTGCATTCCAGTTCTGCCTCTAGATGCACCTTGGGCAGGTTTACTTTAACATGAGCTTGGTTTTCTCTTCTGGACATTAGGAATGGCAATTGCTTGGCACAGATCGCTAAATGGATTATGCAAGATAAAATATGTGGTAAGTGTTGTACAAAAGGTAGAAAGTCACAGACATATGAAAGACCTTTTTCCAGAAAAAAAGAATTCTTTATATACCATTTAAATACACTTTTTTATATATTACACATTATATATACACCATTGTACACCTATATATCTATACATACACACACTTTTCCTGCCAGTTCGAAAGCATCTTGTATCTATCATATGACAGATAAAATAAAAACAAGAAACCTGACTACATACGTGACACAACCCAGAGATGGACGGCTGGGTGAGAGAGGCAGGGTGGGCGAGGTGCCTCTGCGAGTTGGCCCGCTTGCTCGCTGCTTTTTAAAACTCCCCGATGCCGTGCACGCGTTGAGAGCACCGCTTCAGCTTATCTTCCGCGGAAGACCCCAGGTCGGTGCCACAGGTGCCCCGCGGTGAGTGCGAGTGCCCACGTGCTCGGCGGAGGAGCTCTGCAGACGGCCAAGTGGATGCACCATGTACCTGGGGGGGGGGGTGTTCCTCCCACGTCCAGTGCGCGGGGGACCCTGCATGTGCAGGTGCCGGGTGCGTGTGCGCAGTTTTGCCTCAGGCATCCCTGAAGATGCTGTTCAGGTTTGTGCCCGAGTACAAGCCCCGCCCCCCACGTAGTCCCTGCGAGAGTGCGTTCCCCGCAGTACGTCCCAGGGAGCAAGGTGCAAGTCCCCGAGAGGACTGAGAGTGTAGAGAGGTCACTCACCGTCTCCTCTGGCTCGTCGTCGATGCCCAAACTCCACTTCCCCGCCCTCTTCACGCAGTCTAACGGCAAAACTCCACTGCCCTTTGCAGTAACTGACGACCCCGTGGACCAATCAGCGCTGACATCCCGGAAGAAACTGGACCAATGTTATATTAATAGGGCATAGCTACTGCCTTCTGCCTCCCGCAGAGGCTCAGTGGGTAATGTAGTCTTCTGGTACTACCCCGCCCACAGTGCGCAAGGCTTCCTGGGAGACGTAACCTCTCGGCGGGTCGCAAGGCCGGAAGGTCGCCGCTTTCAAGGTCCCTGGGTTCAGTGATGTATGGCTCAGAAGTCACCCTGCGGGGTGTGAAAGTTTAAAGAGCGCTGAATTTGATCTTCTTAGTCTAGAATCCTGATAACCTAAAATTGGAAAAGATAGCGGGAATACCAAAATTCTGGAGGACAGAGGAAGGAAATAGTCTTTTTTCTTTCTTTTTATCGGTACCAGGGATCGAACTCACAACCACCTGCTTGCAAGGCAAGTGTTTATGCCACTGAGCTAAATCCCCAGCCCCAGGAAATAGTCTCTTATGAGTAGAATGTATAGCGGAGGTTTTTACACCTGAAGTTTATTATATGTAAATTGATGTTATAAAAATATTATTAGTCAGGCGTGGTGGTGCACACCTGTAATCCCAACACTGGGGAAGCTGAGGCAGGAAGATTGCTGCCAGTCCCAGGCCAGTCTGTGTTACAAAGTGAATTGAAGGCCAGCTAGAACTGCAGAGAGGAAACCCTGCCTAAAAATACATACATACATACATACATACATACATACATACATTAATTAAATAATATATCAGCCGAGCTTGGTGCCACATACCTGTAATCCTAGCACTCAGGAGACTGAGGCAGGAGGATTATTGCGAGTTAGACCTGGGTTACAAAGTGAGCTTAAGGCCAGCCTGAACTGCATAATATGACCTTGTCTCAAAAAGACTATATATATATAAAATCCAGGCAGGAGGATCACTGAGTTTGAGGCCAGCCTGGGCTACATGAACAAATTTAAGGCCAGCCTGAAATGCAAAATGAGACCTTGTTTTTAAAAAAAAAAAAAAATTAAGAATATATAGACACAGAAAATATAGAAAGGAAGGGGAAATGACTCCCGAGGGTCTCATACAGTAGCATCAGGGTTGCAGAATAGTGCTTCCTTCTGTCTTTAAATTGAGAGGTTCTTGTTTGTTTTGTCTTGTTTCAGTGGTGGGAATTGAACCAAAAACCTCAAATATGCTCAGCAACAACTACCATTAAATTACACCTCTGGCCCTTTTTATTTTACTTTGAAATAGGGTTTTGCTAAATCATCAACTGAGTCTGACATGGTGGTGCACGACTATAATCCCAGCATTCCAGAGGCTGAGATGGGAGGGTAACTCCCATCTGGGTAACTCCAGAGGGAGGATAACCCTGAGTTTTAGGCCAGCCTAAACTACATAATGAGTCCGAGACCAGCTTGAACTTCGTAGCAGACCCTGCTTCAAAAAAAAATTTTAGGGGCTGGGGATTTAGCTCAGCGCAGTCGTGAGTTCAATCCCCGGTTCCGATAAAAAGGAAAAAGACAAAAAAAAAAAAAAACCTTGGGAAAAAAAAACAACAACAAAAAAGGATGTCTCCAAATAATGAATCAAGTCAATTCAGTAGCACTCTTATCATGAAGACATGGCAGAAGTGAGACTGTAGGAGTAACTTCTACAGCTGCAGTCTCTGTCTTAATTGGGGTTGGAGCCAAGTGTCCTCAGCTGTGGCCTTATTTTGCCCTTTGAGGTGTCTCTGGCCTCACAAGCCAGTACAGGCCTCAGTCGGGACCAGTGAGTCACAGAGGTTCACTTACTATGAATTAGCTCCCCTCACCGGGCAAGGGGCCTAGGCCTAGAACAGACTCACAGATAAACATAGAAAGCCAATTAGTAAAATTTAAGTCCTACTCAGAGCCACTTGGTAGTGCTCTCCAACACATTCAGTTTCACTAGTTAACATTTCAGTAGATACCTATAAAAAAACAAGCATTGGGGCTGGGGATTTAGCTCAGCAGCATAAGCACCTGCCTTGCAAGCAGGTGGTCTTGAGCTCAATCCCTGGTACCGATAAAAAAAAAAAAAAAAAAAAAAAAAAAAAAAAAAGGCATTGTACCAGGTATGGTTGCATGTGCATGTAATCCCTAGCACTTGAAAGGTGAGGCAGGAGGATGACAAATTCAAGGCCAGCCTGGATTACACAGTAAACAATCTCAAAAAAAAAAAAAAAGTAAGATAAAAATGTACAAAAGTCAGGCACAGTAGGGCAGACCTGTAATCCCAGCACTGGAGAGACTGAGGTAGGAGCATCTTTGAGTTTGAAGCCAACTTGCACTGCATAGGGAAGCCCTGTCTCAAAAAGATAAGAATAAAAAACCCACGAACTGGGGCTGGGGATTTAGCTCATTGGTATAAGTACCTGCCTTGCAAGCAGGCAGTCGTGAGTTTGATTCCTTGTACCGATTTAAAAAAAAAAAAAAACCCACAAACTATCACTCCTCTCACCGAAATCAACAATAATTATATCACTTGTTTGGTTGCAAAATTCTGCATTTTAGATACCTTTAAACATTTTTTTTTCTATTTCTTTTTTGTAGCTATGTCTGGCCATGGCAAGTAAGGAGGCAAGGCCTGAGCCACGGCCAAGTCGCTCTCCTCCAGCGCCAGGCTGCAGTTTCCTTGAGCCAGGAACACCACCTGCTGCGCAAGGGTAACTCTGTCGAGAGGTGGGGGCCAGCTCGCTATCTACCTGGCAGCTAAGATCCTGGTGCTAGCAGGCAACGTCGCCCAAGACAACAGTAAGACCAAGAGGACACGCCTCATTCCTCGCCACCTGCAGCTGGCCATCTGCACGGACTTTGCGGGGCAAAGTCACCATCGCCCAGGGCGGCATTCTGCCCAACATCCAGGCTGTCCTGTTTTCAAAGAAAACCAAAAGTCACAAAGCCAAAAGCAAATAAAACCTGGCAAACCAAGCAAAAGACCAAGGGCTCTTTTTAGAGCCACTTAAAAAATAATAATTATATATCTACTATGGAATTAGTGTTTACATTTCTTGATTAAGATATTCATCTCTTCAGGAACAGTTTGAAGTCTAAATTGTATGTTGCAATTGATTAATATATCACTTAATTTTTTAATTTGCAATTTCTTTTCTTTCTTTTTTTAAAATCTCCTTTATGTGAATATCTGCACGTACAGTGGTACCTTGAGACTTGTTAATTGGTTCCAGGAGGCACAGTGAGTACTAAAACCACAAGCACAGTACCAAACTGGCTCAGCTAGAAAGGATCCAAGTCAGGAGGCAATCAGCACCAGTTTCCAGTTGCCTGTCTAATACCACACAATGATTAAAGAATTCCTAGACAAAATTTTCATGTCAAAATGTGTTGAGGACCCAGGCATCAAGGTATGACTGCATTGTCTCTCAGACTGCGCATTGTTTTTTTCACTCTGTGCCTTTCAAATAGCAGAAGTTTTGTTTGTTTTTGTTCTTTTGAGTCAAAAAATGTAGTCCAGGCTGGCATTGAACTCTTGGTGATCCCCCTCCCTCAGTCTCTTGAGTGCTGGGATTACAGTCTTAAGTCACCACATCAGCTACTCCTGTGTTTTCTAATAAAATTACCATTTGAAATTTTATACCTAGGTCTCTGGTTCATTTTAAATTAATTTTTGTGTTTAATGTGAGATACAATTTTTTTTAACTTTTTTTTTTTTTTTTTAATTTTTTTTTGTCTTTTTCGTTTTTATCGGTACCAGGGATCGAACTCACGACTGCCTGCTTGCAAGGCAGGCACTTATGCCGCTGAGCTAAATCCCCAGCCCCTTTTAACTTTTGATTTTAGATATTTATTGTTCCAGCATGTGGAACAGTGTTGTTTTGAAAAATCCATTTTCTCCCATTAAATTGTCTTTTCTCTTTTATTGAAAATCAGGCTGGTGCCTGCCTTGCAAGCAGGCAGTCGTGAGTTCAATCCCTGGTACCGATAAAAAGGAAAAAGACAAAAAAAAAAAAAAAGAAAGAAAATCAGGCTGGGCATGGTGGCACGAACCTGTAATCTCAGCACTTGAGAGGCTGAGGCAGGAGGACTGTGCAATTTCAACACCAGCATGGGCTACAGAGTGAGTTCAAGGCCCGCCTGGACTACCTAGGGACTCACTATCTCAAACACAAACAAACCAAAAAACCAAACCAAACCAAGCAAACAAAAAACAGGCCAGGGGGCTTAGCTCAGTGGCGTAAGCACCTGCCTGACAAGCTCGAGGTCATGAATTTTTTGCTTACTGAAAAATAAATAAGTAAGTAAAAAGAAAAGAAAAAATCAGAGCAGGCATAGTAACCCATACCTATAATCCCAGCACTGGTAATTTAGCAATGTGGCAAGAACCTGTGTAAATAAATAAATAAAAATTAAAAGGGTTTGGGATATAGTAGCTCAGTGTGAAAGCCATAGGTTCAATTTCTAGTACGGGGGGGGGGGGAGAAAAGAAAATCAATTGAGTTGTTCACATATACATAGAATTTTGACTTCTGCTTTTCCTCATACAACATAAATAATGAGAAGTACTGTCCAGGAAAAAGATACGTATTTAAGAAATGGTGCCCAGCTTGGTGGCACACGCCTGTAAGCTGAGTGCCCAGGAGGCTGAGGCAGGAGGACCACCACGAGTTCAGGGCCAGCCTGGGTATCATAGTAACCCCCTCTCTCAAAAACGTAAAACAGAAAACGATGGCCCACCTTGAGCCACAGCTGGCGTGGGAGTCAGAAATCTGTCTTTTTGCCCTCACTGTGTCTTTGCTCCATCACCTACTCAAGCCTCCTTGTTTATGGGCTGCCTCAGTTCTCCCTGAAAATGCAGCCTTCACATCACAGCTGTAGTCTGAAAATAGCAGATGAAAATTCTCTCCCCAGTGCTTTTGTTTTGAGACAGGGTCTAAGTTGCCCCACTAGACTCAAAGTTGCAGTCCTCCTGCCTCAGCCTCCCAGAGTGCTGGGATGACACGTGTGAACCACTATGCCCTGC